TTAGACCCTATTTTACATCATCTGAGGTATTTGTGTTGTGCCCGCCATCGGCTGAGACACAACATGCTCTTGAATACAGGGTGGGTGTCATGTTTTGGTTGATAAATGTACTAAAATAGGAATACAATTTAGATGTTGACTTTCAAATGGTACCATAAAGATGGTTGGAGGTCCACAAATCAGAGAATATTGACTTGAATTGGAATATATATATATATATATGTATATGTATATATATATATATGTATATGTGTGTGTTTTCTTTACAGTCAATCCTCCATATGAAACCTATTGAAATCATAGAAATATAGAAAATACATTAGACATGTTAAGTTGACATTGGACAGTGGGTGGACCGACGGCCGTCTTTGTGGTACTAATTAGAAGTTAAAGTTACAATCCACTTAACATTTCAGAAGTATAGCAGCTAACTTGCAGTGGTCTGAAGGGATAGGTCCATTCTATGAATTCTATTTCTATGTTTGAAATGACACCCACCCTGTATTCAAGAGCATGTTGTGTCTCAACCAATGGCGGGCACAACACTAAAACCTCAGATTATGTAAAGTAGGGTCCAAGCTAATACGTATGCAAATATGAAAAAAAGTTTACGCGTTTTTAGATAAATTACATTAAAGGTATAAAAATAAAAAAAAGTATATGTTTTATTCAACAACAAAACACTATTCAAGAAATTATAAAATAGTTTGACAAACCTGTTTTGTAAGCTTTTAAATTATATCAAACTCAACTGTTTAGAATTTCCAGTGATGAAGACATGGATCTCATGATATGGTGGACTATGCAAAATGGGACAACTTTGAGCGTCTCTATCTCCTGGATGTTTTGGCCTTCAGGTTCAAAAAGTCACTTTCTGACCACTTCTTCCATGGGCAAACGTATGGAAAGTTTTGTTTAAATCAAAAGGGATGCTGTCAAAAAGTGATTGAATTGATATGGATTTACTCTAAGGTCATTTGCATGAATGAACTGCCCTGGCTATTGCCCATCATCGACTTCCACTACCATAGATTTGGAGGTTAAACCAATGTGTGTAGTAGATGATGAGTGAGTGCAGCAGCCCAGGCAAGCGAGCTGCACAGCTGAAGATGGGGGAGGGGAGAACCAATCTCCTGCACTCTGCAGCATGGCACTTGTCCACAGGGTCAGAGTTAATGGATATTCTCAGCTCATTTAGTTAAGGGTTTAGCGCAACCCTCCCTGAAGTAAAATCCACTGTGTCCTCGATGCACTTATCAGTGAACTTTTTCCCATTTCTCTTTTTAACGGCGAGCGCTAAGAAATTAGTGTTGAAGTGGATTTCAAAATGAGAGATAATTGCCAGTCTGTCGACAGGGTACGACAAAAGCCAGGATTTGTTTTGGTCAATGCTTTGTTTTTCCCCCGCCTCGAGTGTCCACATCAATTTTGAGTATGCCTGTGTTCCCAAGTACGCCAATTCTCCCCTTAACCTCTGATTTGGCTCACAGAGGTTATCTATAGGCCTAACCAGGCATATATGCTAAATGTGTCCTGAGGCATACATACAGTAATCACGCTTTTCATGCTGTTCATTCTGATATCCAATGATGTCTTAATGATGACACATTCATCCACTTTCTTCATTTGTGCATTATAAAGGAGTTAGAAACGTTTTGCCAATAGTGAGAAACGAGTGAAGATGGCTGTCTAACAAAAATTCCTTCTCTTCTGAAGGCCAACATGGAGGGGGGTTGTCACAAGGCAGCTTTTGTAAGTCGTGGACCAGAGCCAAGGTTTGTGAGGTGGAAGAAGAGAGGCAGTCTATTGCCATTGTGATGGATGGGTGTGGGACTGGAGCTGGGTTTGTTTGGGTGTGGGCAGACTGGGGTGAGGAGAGCAGACAGGGCCAGCATGGTTTTAGCCTCTCCTACCTGGGTCAGAGAACCAGGAGAGAGCCCAGGCTGGCCAGAGGAGTGGGGAAAATATATATTATTTTGATTTAGACCATACTTGGCCATAAATGTCTATTTTTCTAACTAGGCTGCTTTGGTTAGGGCAAGTATGTTGACATCCACACTGCCAATAGCACAGTGAGATGTACGAGAAAACCAATTTCTGTTTACCTGGTGTGCTGGGGTGTTTGTGCACATTAGCCTAAACTGCAATGGTATTTATCCAATTACTTTGTCTTTACATAGTGTCATCTAATGATGTGCCTTGATGCACAGGGAGTGGAAAAGGGCAACAAGGTGCTAATCTGTTGTGTCAGCTTGTTCGCCTGGTGTGACACAAGACTCCTAGCTGTTACAGGTTTGTCACTGCATCCTTCTGCATATGTTCATCAAGCAGTTCATTTTGGATGTGGGGAATTTGTTTGACCTGGAAGTGAAACCTGATTGTAAAGGACAGAGTGACAGTTGAGTCAGCACTTTTTACTTCCTCTCTTCCCTTTGGGTCTGCTATTCTTTCATGGCAATGTGTCTTATTCAAAGCCAAACTTAAGTGCCCTTTAATGGAACACATATGGACCATGATGTGTTATTTTGACTACCGGTATGTGAAAAACGAAACTCCCAATTCCTGAAATTTGAATCACAACAGTGGAGAGTGAATATGAAAGAAATCATGACTAAAAGGTAGAGAAGGACTTTTAAATGGAAAAAAGTCATTATTAGTCAGCATTGAACTCCTATTCCCATTGTCTTGGATCAGAAGCTGGGAAGATGAGTAGGGGTTGAAATATGCCAGCATCCTGTGCACAGGATGGTACGTCTCCTCTCCAGCCCATTTGAACTTCACTAAGTCAGACAGTGACATTGCCTATTTTCCATTTATTTAACCACTCAGTGTATGAATTGTCCATACTTGCATTTCAGCAGATGTAGTATTTGAAAATGTTTGCACAGTGTATCCATGAAGTAGTGGTATAATAGCACTAGGTAACAAGATGTCTGCCCAGGAGATGGAGCTCTGTGAGATACTGTAATTGAGGTCAGATATTGTTTCTCCAGGGCAGGGAAACCGTCTCAATAAAGCGCTTCAATGGAGAGGCCTCCATTCACCAAGAGCACAGGGGCAGCCCATTAGGCTGATCTTACTGAAAAATGCATCTGTTTAGAGAACCAGAGTGCCGGTATTTTCCTGTTTAATCTATCAGACGACTAAGGGAAGAAAAACTGTCTAGATCTAAATCTGTGTAATTACAGTGAACTCCCTGCCTGGATTCCCCCACAGGAATACAAACGTGAGAGAGCGGCCCACTGACTGTGTGAACTACATATGAAGTGCCTGCCCTCTCCCTGTGTGCTGCAGGCTGAAGTATGGGACTGGTGGTGGACCTACAGTACTCCGCAATAGACTTGTTTCTCTAGCACAATACTTAACATGTCATTAGGCCTTGAGATGCATTTGATAATGATGTTATGTTGTTTTTGTTTGATCATATTTAGCCTAAGCTGGTTCACTTAGGCTATTCAGTCTCTTTAGTTCACTCGTTCACTCACTGACATGCCTTTTCATTACTCAAACATACCTCACATTTTCGCTCGCTCTCTCTCTCCTTCACCTCCCTCTCTCTCTCTCTCTCTCTCTCTCTCTCTCTCTCTTTGCACCTCTCTCTCACACACGCACATTCACCCTAAGACTTCCAAGGTTCAGCAAATGGGTGCCTTTTCACATCAACGCTCTATGTCGTAAGATCTGATCCCAGACCATGACATCTGCCTTGCAGCCTAGCCAGGACTCCACTTGTCACTAGTGAGTTTACGTCAGTATTGAACCCACTTTCTTATCATCTTGATCCACATTACCTGTAGGCGATTAAAGTGTCCTCCTACATAAATTGTCTTGCTGATATGATTTTACACTCCCAAGTTGAGAAGGCTACACTGCTAATAGAGAAGACAGGCTCTTGCTATTCTTTCGGCATTAGGCTAAATCAGGGGAACAGTCATATCTTAATTGATACTGGCCACGCTCCCAGATTGGCTTGTTTTAGCTGCATTCCTGCTCAGTTGCAGCTTTCCGTTTCCCCTTCACTTTTGCCTTACTTTTAAACCACTTGGCAATTTCCACATAGACCCCTGTTCTCTTTCCCCTGTTCTGAGATTAGGCTTTGTGAGAGTGGTTCATTTACCACTGTAGAACACTTCAAATTCATGTCTTAATGGTTGATTCATGCTTCATAAAGCTCATAACTAGCTCTGCCCAGTTGGTTACAATTATCAAATCAAATTTGATTTGTCACATGCTTTGTAAACAACAGTGAAATGCTTACATATGGGTCTTTACCAACAATGCAGAGAGAGAAAAAAAGAGAAATTATAGACAAATTATAACATGAGGAAGAAATACACAATGAGTAAAGATAACTTGGCTATATACACGTGGAACCAGTACCGAGTCGATGTGCAGGGGTACGATGTAATTGAGGTAGATATGTACATATAGATAGGGATAAAGTGACTAGGCAATGGGATGGATAGATAAACAGTAACCCGACACTCATTTAACTCCATCCAGAATAGTTTGTTCATAAACAGATAGTTACCAACTTCTGCAAACATCCTTTTTCATTTAAGAACTGAAAAAAGTATTTGTTTTCTAAACAATTTTTACTTGGCATACAGTTGGCAGTATATAGTCTATTTTGTTTTTCATGTGCAATAATTAATGCCATTTTGCCTGAGATGGGCTAGATAAATAAATGCATCTAAAAACTCATTAAAGTCAAGAAGTCTTCATTTCCCTTTATCCACTGTTCCATTTTAGGGAGAATGCCTTGTTTTTTGTTCGCTTTTCTCTGTCCGCAGAACAGAAGACTGGAGCCCAGGCAGTGCCTAAAATTAGATCCTTATTTAGCATTTGCCTAAAGGAACTGGGCTGCATTTTGGAAATCATTTGATATCTCATAGGAGAACAGAGCAGCTATTGTTGAGGGAAAATGTACAGTAATACTGGATGAATTCTCGTTTAAGGCGTTACAACAACAGGAAAAGGTGGAGGAGAACAAAAAGATAATGTCCTATGCACGTTTGTTCTCAACTTGATATCCATGAGGTAGTGAAGCCAAATCATGACCACTGCTATCTGGGCATTTTAATGGTATACAGTATCGCAATCGGCAAACCACTGCAAATTTACATCTGACAGCAGCAAAGAGCCAGTGAGCGGTGCTAAGCCCAGGGCCCTGGTCACCCAAGACTCTGACCATGCCACTCCTCTCCAGATGTTCTTCTATTTTCCCTCTGCTGGAGAAGTAAGTCGCCTCCTCACACGAACCCTGACTCTCTTTATCCCACTTCCTATAAAGTCACAAGCTCTCTGGTCTGGCCTGAGCCAACACAATGCTCTCTCCAGCCCCCTGTACTTATTCCTACACAGAGTAGGTGAGACATACATGGCACACATTGAAAGGGAAAGATAGCAGCTTGTGAGCTTCAATATTCCAGTCATTTTGAAGTGCTCACATGGAAACAGGAGTTCACTGGGTCCACAAAAATCGAGTTATTTGATATCAAGCCAAGCCCACATTTCATACAGGATATATCCATTACAATGAATCATAAGACAGAAGTTACTGTAAAGCAGACAGATTGGGAGCATATGAGAACTGGCTTTAAGTGAATCTTCAAAATGCGGACAGGGAAACAAACACATTATTCATGTGTGATGATATTAGGGACTAGGATGATGGTTTCTATGTGTCTGTTTAAGTAGGCTATGACAGTGTTTGCGCCTTATGATGGTGTGTTTGTGCTTGTTCATGATGGGGGACTTTTAATGAGGCTTGAGGTTTTTCTCCTCTGTCTTCTCCGTTATTCTCAAAGTTATGATGATAACCCTTAATTGGCTGTGATCTGGTGTAAATGAGCTATGACGAGCCAAAGGGCATAGTTAATAATCAGAGAGACCATCTCATTACCTTGTGACTCCTCTGGGTGGTCAGAGGGTATATCTGCTTTAATAGCTTCTCATTCCTTGCAGACTTGATGTGCAAGATAGCCTAGCGGTTAGAGCGTGGGGCCAGTAACCAAAAGGTTGCTGGTTCGAAGCCCCGAGCCGGAAAGGTGGAAAAATCAGCCGTTCTGCCCTTGAGCAAGGCAGTTAACCCCCAACAACAACTGCTCCCTGGGCTCCGATGACGTGGACGTCGATTTAAGGCAGCCCCGCCGCACCTCTCTGATTCAGAGGGGTTGTGTTAAATGCGGAAGACACATTTAGGTTGAATGCATTGTTGTGCAACTGACTAGGTATCCCCATTCCCCCAATATCACTCCAACGGGCAACAGCTATGCAGTAAAAAATTGGATCCTGGATGCTTGGCTCCTTTATCTCTCCATCTACATTCTACATTGTTTCTCTGAAAGCTTTCACCATCGGTTGTATGTTTGTAAAAACCTCTGAAAGCCTTGCTTTGCTATTCATTGTGTGTGAGATGATGTCTCATTGTCCTCCTCTTGTTCCCCCCTCAGTCCATCCTGCTGCTGGGAGGCGTGGCTCTAGCCTGCCTGGCCCTGGACCTCCTCTTCCTGCTCTTCTACTCCTTCTGGTTGTGCTGCCGGCGGAAGAAGAGCGAGGAGCAGCCCAACGCCGACTGCTGCTGCACCGCCTGGTGTGTCATCATCGCCACGCTCGTCTGCAGGTGAGTCCCACGTGGAAAGACATAAGGCTTTGATCACTCAACAGACCATTGGTTCACTACCCAAAATATAGGCCTAGCTTTAATGAGGTGGGCCATCTCTAATTTCAACATGTAAAGCCTGGGACTGCAGACGACAATGCAAGGATTAGCGATGTTCACCGTCACCCCTTAACCTCCTCGGATTAGCCATGTTCACAATCACCCCTTAACCTCCTCGGCTGGCCCTGTAGTGCACAGACATAAGCGTACTCCATGCATGATGGAGCAGTTTGTGCCTTTAATCTCCTCCTTGATGCCTAGCACAAAGCCAGCACCCTTCCTCTGAGATGAATGAGCACCACCCACAGTGTCATAGGTGACTGGCTTTAAGACCTCATGCCTAGTCTGCCTGAGGGAATGTATTAGGGGTTTAACGGTACACATATTCGTACCGAACCATTCAGTACAGGGACCTCGGTTCAGTCCGTACTGTGAACCCGAATGAATACATAAAAAAACTTATTCACAGTACAAAATGAAAACACTAGGCCTATAGGCTATGCTTACGCTGCGTTGTAGGCCTCTGCCTCTTGAGTACATTTCAGACTATTCCGTTAAAAACAACTAGAGCCTTTGCGCACGTTGTAATCAAAATTCTCCTTTTAATTGGCGCATATCAAACTGTCCTTTTTGTGAAGCGCAGCCGGGAACTAGTTCTGTATGAAGGCGGGTGGTGGGGTTGATAAACCAGAATTGGAGAATCCTCCATCATCGTTTAAATCTCCAGTTTGGGAACATTTTGGCTTCCCAGTAGATTACAACGCCGATAGACAGAGTTGTGGATAAATGCTTAATAGAATGTCGCCACGCTCAACGAGAATAGCCTATGCAGCTGCCCACACCTCAAATAGGTTCACACCCCAGTATACCAGAGCAAGACAGAAACCTAAGAAGCAACAACAACATCGTCTCCCCTCTGCATTCAAGCATTCTTTGGCAGCTGATTCTGACCGGGCCAAAGAAATTACAAGAGCGATTGGTAGACTGTTTATTTTTTACAGTCTTTGGTTTGTAGCCACGGATATGCACCCATTCACGGTGGTTGAGAATGGAAGGTTTCAGCCCCTCGTAAAAGTGCTTGAGCAACTATCATGGTGCGTTCATAACCAAGAGGGAATTGTGAATTTACCTCATATGACTGGGAAAAATCCACTTGAATGGCCCTCCAACTGGTAATTACTAGTGGGAAACTCTTCTATCATCTTGAGCACCCACTTCTCCCACATGGTGACCTCTGACATCACCTACTAAGGAAATGGCCTTAAATGCAACAACAAAACATTAGCTATAAAAAGCTATCTATTATTGTGTTTTTTTAACTATATAATTTGTTTACAAGCATGGTAGATGTACTTTTAGTACATGGTTGACGCAGCTTGTTGGCCATTAGCCAATCGGCGTTTCTCAACGAGTTCAAATCACATGAATGCATGCATCCAACTGGTATCTACGACTTCACAACTGGTAAATTCCCACCTCCCACTTAGTTACAAACGCAGCATCAGAGTGGAAAATTGAGAGGCCCAACATAACAATCCAGTCACAACAGACAATGCCAGGAACATTGTGAATGCTGAACATTGTGAATGGCATTTAATTTTCCCATTGTACCGAAACCAAACTGAAGCGTAACCCCAAAACCGCAATACGTACCGAACCGTGGGTTTGGTGAACCATTAGACCCCTAGAATTTATGGATAGTTTACTCTGCTGGATGCTGAACTCTAGGGAGAGCAGAGCTGTGTGACCTGCTGTCTCCTAACTCATAATGGACACAGGAGGTATTTGACGCACGCTGTCTGATGCCGCTTTTATTGTTGTTTACATCTCTCCCCTTCTGAACTGAGGATACAAGAGCAGACCTTCATGTGACATTGGCCTTCACAAACCATGGGTTGCATGGTGTAGTCTGGGGAAGACACACAGGACCCCCACAATTCTTCTAAACCTTGACCCATAAACTGAATTTCGTTGAGAAATTATTTTGTTTTGTATATGCACGCAACTTCTCTGCTGTGGAAGAGATGTAGTGTTTAAGTTCCTGGTAGGCGTAGCATCTGCAAGATGCTGCAGCTTTAGTGTCGAACTACTGTGGTGAGATGGTGGTATTTTTAGAACTAATCTTCTCCTTACTTTATTGGAGCTCTCAATTGGAGAGTAAGCTACTTGGGCTTACTTGTTAACCCCTTTCTCATCTGGTGTTTGCATTTTTGAAACAATCTAGCAGCTGTGAAATCTGCTCAAGCAGGGAATGAGAAGTGCACAGGATTGAAAGGATCTTCCCTGAGGCTTGAAACCACAAATCCCTCTACCATGTACTTTTTGCTGTCTGCCTCAAATGAAATGACCCTCAGTCACTGCTACTTTTTTGTATCTAGGCTATTAGGTTTCCTTTCTTAGTCTAGGCTATCTAACGATTATACTTATAAATACAACATACAAAGCTGCAATACCATTCACAAATCTATATGTTTAGTCTAACTAGGCCTAATTAAGGAAAAGCCAGGTCTTTCTGGGATTATCAATTAGTTTATTTTGACTTCTTGGATAAACATAATATGTGGATTAATTATAGTGGGAGTGGTATTGATTTGTTTAAAGCTGTTGAAGTGGTTGTTGTGATCTGACTGAGAGATGCTATTATAGAGAAAGATGAGGACATATTGATTCTATTTAGAGAGTAAGTTGATACCACAGAACACTGAATAAGTGGAACAAGAGGAAGTTGGAGAGGCATTGTTGTGTGATGTAATCTTCTGTATGATTATGAATAGTGAAGTATTACACAGAGAGCATTTTTTGTGGTTATGCGATGGGTCTCAGCTGTTGAATGGATCGCAGCTGTTGAACAGTTCTAGACTGAATCACTAATTATTTTAATGGCCAGCCATACATATTTAGGCTTTAGTTTGCATCATTGATATGCAAGTTCCTGCTCCGCACTGCAGTCAAAATTGCCATAGAACCATGCCAGTTTTCAGCCTCTCAGTCTGAAACTTTGCTTCCTTACCAAACACCATGCCAACATCCATATGCTCTGGGACAGACATGATAACCGTGAGCTTGTGAGGCCTCGTCTCTGCACGTAGTCATCAAGCAATGTATTGGAAAGTAATGAAAAAGTTATAGAAAATAAAGGATTTCTCACATTCAAACTGAAATCATGCTACAAATGAGTGCCCACTGTAGTTTCCATGGCAACATTCTCTCAGAAGCCAACAAAGGACACAGAAGAAGACCCAGAGGACTGGCTCAGAACAGAGCAGGCAGAGGGATACTCGGGGACTCTAGTGGTTTAGAGTTAGAATCCTTTGAACTGCACAGTAAAATAGGTGGTATATTTTCAGGAATTAGGATACACCAAAAAAAGTGTAAATCTTGCAGAGCTAGCAACACTAGATGGCCTACTATACTGAACAAAAATATAAACGCAACATGTAAAGGGATGGTCCCATGTTTCATGAGCTGAAATAAAATATCCCAGAAATGTTCCATACGCACAAAAAGCTTATTTCTCTCAAATGTTGTGCACAAATTTGTTTACATCCCTGTTAGTGTGCATTTCTCCTTTGTCAAGATAATCCATCCACTTGACAGGTGTGGCATATCAAGAAGCTGATTAAACAGCATGATCATTACACAGGTGCACCTTGTGCTGGGGACAATAAAAGGCCGCTCTAAAATGTGCAGTTTTGTCACACAACACAATGCCACAGATGTCTCAAGATTTGAAGGAGCGTGCAATTGACATGCTGAGCTGTTGCCAGATAATTTAATGTTCATTTCTCTACCATAAACCGCGTCCAACGTCATTTTAGAGAATTTGGCAGTATTTGGGGGGGAGTTGCTGAGGAGTATTTTTGTCTGTAATAAAGCCCTTTTAGGCTGGGCATGGCTCCTATGGCTGCGCCCCCGCCCAGTCATGTGAAATCTATAGATTAGGGCCTAATTTATTTATTTCAAATTATTGATTTTCCTTCTTTGAACTGTAACTAAGTAAAATCTTTGAAATTGTTGCATTTTGCATTTTATATTTTTGTTCAGTATACTTCAATGGGATGGCAAAGTAGGGGGTAAATGTTAAGGACAATATGCCCTTTCACTATCAAAGAGTCGCTCTGTGTCTAGTCCAGTGGGAAACCAGACCAAACTGTTGTCTGTTTCTGAGTGCTTCCCTCCAGAGTCCCTCCCAACCACTGATTTACACGGCTGTCTGGAAGAACGACAGGCGAGTCCACCACAGTCACACAGACAAGCTTTGGAATCCCTGGGTCTCACAAAGGGTCATGTTCTGAGTGGCAGTGACATACAAGGGAATGAACAATGCTGTCTGTCAAAATAATGGACCTAGAAATCCTAGAAAAACCTTCCTTTTCGATTATGCTGCCCCTTTGTTAGTGATCTCTTAAGACAAAGCTATTGGCCAGAATGGCCGCTCCTGTAGTGTCTGGGGCACAGCGCAGTATTTATGACCGATGAAGGGTTTATCATCTTCCCTCCTCAGTCTCCCTCCATCTGTCTGTGGGATAGGCACTTCCCAGCCTTCAGTTTCAAGGGGATGTGACCCAGATGGAGGATGGTACCTCTCCCTGAACTGTAATTTCATCTCTGGCTGAATCTGAATGATGGATCTCTCGCCTCCTTGAACCCCCATTGAGTAATGACAGTCAGCACCTGCTGCTGCCATCACAATGAGCTTCTGGAGTCTCTCTGCTGCCTCTCTGGCCCACCTGTGAGAATTAATCCATCCACACAATGCAAGTCTCTGCACGCCCAGGCAGCCTAAAAGATTTCTTCACGGCTGCGGGAGTCTTATCAACTCCCATCTATGCTGGTAGGGAGAAGAGATTAATCGAAACCTCACTTCGCCCTGCCCTCCTTTCACAGTCTATGAGAGGGTCTCTCCCCATTGGGAAGGAGCACAACCCATAATAAGCAGCAGAGCTTTCATGAATTGAGCAAGACTCTCTGTGCTTCATGCTAATGTATAATTCATGTGGTTTGTGCTAGGGATGGGCACGGTTAATCGATAATAGAATATCCGAACGGATGTTAGTATTCGATTACTTGCGAGTGTACATTTTTTGGCACCATAAAATTATAGGCCTATTTTAACAATGGAAAGGCTTTGTCTGCATTAACTAAAATGATGTGACATTGCTAAATACAAGTATATACCATGACATTTGAAATTCTTCATTTAATAAAACAACAAACTTTTGAATGTAGTTTTTATGATGTGCAACCCATAAAAAAAGACATACCGGTAGCCTTCACATGTTTCACGCGTGTAGCTTGTTGTTATTGTCGGGCAGTCAAAGCGGCACTACAGTCAGAGGCTCCATATGTAGCCTAGCAAGAGGGATATTTCTAATCAACGCAAAAAGGAATACAAATGACGGAATTTTTTGGGGGAAAAATTAAGTTACCTTAATGAGAAGGTAACAGGTAGGCTGTTGTTTAATCTGAATCCCTATGAGGCTCGCCATCACGTATACAGTTAATTACAGTTTGTAAAGTTATTTTAACCGTAATGTTCCGTCTTAGGGCATTACATAAGAGAAGCGTGCGAGATTAGTACTCAGCCAATGACTGTACCTGTTTTAGCAGCACGTATCCCACGTTGGACGGTATCCGTAATCGGTAGATGGTTCTGATGGAAAGTTTGTCGTGTGCATCGCCAAGCAGTGCCCAAGAGAGTATTAAATCCAATTGTTTAATGCTACCACCACCCCTTCAAATCAAAAGCAAACATGGATGTCAATGTTTGTACGGACACGCTCCGTTCTACTTCCCGTCTGCAGCAGCATGTTGCCCAATTGCGAGGCTAATTAGCTAGACAAACAGGTGTGAAACACAGACAGGTGTGAGCGATAAGCGAGAACACAACAAGGAATGTTTGGTTTTGATTTGGAGGTGGGTGGTAGCCTCAAACAATTGGATTTAAAACTTTCTTGTGCACTGCTCGGCGACGCAAACGACGACCTTTCCATCAGAACCGTCTACCAATTACGGATACCGTCCATTGCGGGACAAGTGCTACTAAAACAGGAACAGCAAAAGGTTGGAACATAACTTGCAAGGTGGTTTCACAAAGTTTAGTGAAACAAAGGTTTCACAAAAAAATCATGTATTTCGGATATCCCGGGGGGAAAAATAATGATATTATTCGAATAGTGAAAACATTTCAAATGCCCATCCCTAGTCAGTCTGTGTGCAGGGAAGCCTTGTTGGAAGAGGAGAAAATAAATCCAGTCTGCCATTAATTATATAAACAGTAACCGTAGTAGTGGGTGGTTTGGTAATTAGCCTTGCAAAACAGGTACATCTATAAATCACTGCTAGGCAAATCCCCGCCTTATCTTAGCTCATTGGTCACCATAGCAACACCCACACGTAGTATGCGCTCCAGCAGGTATATCTCACTGGTCATCCCCAAAGCCAACACCTCCTTTGGCCGCCATTCCTTCCAGTTCTCTGCTGCCAATGACTGGAACGAACTGCAAAAATCTCTGAAGCTGGAGACTCTTATCTCCCTCACTAACTTTTAAGCATCAGTTGTCAGAGCAGCTTACCGATCACTGCACCTGTACACAGCCCATCTGTAATTAGCCCACCCAACTACCTCATCCCCATATTGTTACTTATTTTGCTCATTTGCACCCCAGTATCTCTATTTGCACATCATCTTCTGCACATCTATCACTCCAGTGTTAATACACTATGGCCTATTTATTGCCTTACCTCCATAACCTACTACATTTGCACACACTGTATATAGATTTTCTATTGTGGTCAAAAGTTTTGAGTCTTCACAAAGTTCGCTGCTTCAGTGTTATGAGATATTTTTGTCAGTTGTTACTATGGTATACTGAAGTATAATTACAAGCATTCCATAAGTGTCAAAGGCTTTTATTGACAATTACATTAAGTTTATGCAAAGAGTCAATATTTGCAGTGTTGACCCTTCTTTTTCAAGACCTCTGCAATCCGCTCTGGCATGCTGTCAATTAACTTCTGGGCCACATCCTGACTGATGGCAGCCCATTCTTGCATAATCAATGCTTGGAGTTTGTCAGATTTGTGGGTTTTTGTGTGTCCACCCGCCTCTTGAGTATTGACCACAAGTTCTCAATAAGATAACAAATAATATCAAATGTTCAATCTCCCCCATAATACCAAGTAGTGAATTTGAAGCTCAGTTTTAAAAGCAGGTCTTTATAGGCTTAACTCTTCTTGCCTGTGACATAACATCCCCAGTCCCTCTCCCCAGTCCTCTTTACACAAGAGCATCTGACATCAGAGGGGATTAAATCAAGTGTCATGTTGACAAGGGAAACACCTCCTGTTAAAATGGGAGCCAGTCTACTCCTCTTCACCCTGCATCCAATGAGTGGATGGGATTGGCCATTTCCTGAAGTAGTGCTAGCTAGGGTAATCTCTTACTCTTATACTCTGAAGGATGGAAAGGTGAGCTGGAGCTATGGGTTTGTGTTCAGGGCAAACAAAGCACATCTCCCTCTGGGGACTGGTAACTGTGGTGGAAACTTGGAACAGGAAACACAGCCAGAGATGAAATACACAACAACCCCACTAGTTTGTTGGCTTAGTGTTATCTTTGACCACCCTGATTGTTTAGGAGTTTCTGTGTCTAGAAAACATTAAATCCGGTTTGTGTCATCCATACTACACCCCTGTGCAGTTTCACAGAAATCTACAGAGCATTGTTGTTTCTCTTACTTTTCTGTCAGTGATTCAGGACTGCCAAAGCAGGCAGATAACATGACTTTTTAAGTGCTTTATGTTTAGGTGTTCAAAAAGACAATGCCAGAAATTAGATACAGTGGGGGGAAAAAAAGTATTTAGTCAGCCACCAATTGAGCAAGTTCTCCCACTTAAAAAGATGAGAGAGGCCTGTAATTTTCATCATAGGTACACGTCAACTATGACAGACAAAATGAGAAAACAAAATCCAGAAAATCACATTGTAGGATTTTTATTGAATTTATTTGCAAATTATGGTGGAAAATAAGTATTTGGTCAATAACAAAAGTTTCTCAATACTTTGTTATATATGGTCCCAGCTCTCTGCAGGTCATTCACTAGGTCCCCCTGTGTGGTTCTGGGATTTTTGCTCACCGTTCTTGTGAGCATTTTGACCCCACCGGGTGAGATCTTGCATGGAGCCCCAGATCGAGGGAGATTATCAGTGGTCTTGTATGTCTTCCATTTCCTAATAATTGCTCCCACAGTTGATTTCTTCAGACCAAGCTGCTTACCTATTGCAGATTCAGTCTTCCCAGCCTGGTGCAGGTCTACAATTTTGTTTCTGGTGTCCTTTGACAGCTCTTTGGTCTTGGCCGTAGTGGAGTTTGGAGTGTGACTGTTTGAGGTTGTGGACAGGTGTCTTTTATACTGATAACAAGTTCAAACAGGTGCCATTAATATAGGTAGCGAGGACAGAGGAGCCTCTTAAAGAAGAAGTTACAGGTCTGTGAGAGCCAGAAATCTTGCTTGTTTGTAGGTGACCAAATACTTATTTTCCACCATAATTTGCAAATAAATTCATTAAAAATCCTACTATGTGATTTTCTGGAATTTTTTTCCTCAATTTGTCTGTCATAGTTGGGTATATAGCAAAGTATTGAGATACTTTTGTTATTGACCAAATACTTATTTTCCACCATAATTTGCAAATAAATTCATTAAAAATCCTACAATGTGATTTTCTGGAGAAAAAAAATCTCATTTTGTCTGTCATAGTTGACATGTACCTATGATGAAAATTACAGGCCTCTCATCTTTTTAAGTGGGAGAACTTGCACAATTGGTGGCTGACTAAATACTTTTTTCCCCCCACTGTACCTATGATGAAAATTACAGGCCTCTCATCTTTTTAAGTGGGAGAACTTGCACAATTGGTGGCTGACTAAATACTTTTTTCCCCCACTGTATCTGTCCAGATCTAATCTCTAATGCCTGCCTGAGTTCCATCCCACTGTCATCGACCAGCACAGTGAGTTTACAGCAGGTTGAAGACAAACCAGAGACATGTTATCACACACTCAATGTCAAGCCTAAAACAGATTTACATGAAAATAAGTTCTGCTTCCTAGGCTATTGCCTGGGATTTCCATAATATTTAATTATGCAATAACACAGCTAAAATGTGCAAGCAGCAACAACTCCTCTCATCTAGACAACCTCAAGTTTTGCAGCCAAAACTTAACAGAGTGACAGAGGATGGGCATGTGAATGTTAGGACTCCCTCAAATCATGAGCTTTATGCAAGACTTAAGTAAAAAATGCATCAAGATTCTCTCAAGTTTCATGACAGTTGTACCATGAACTTACACTGCCTGTCATTCACGTGGCATCAAACTGAATTGGCATACGGCATGCAGGTTTTTTACTAACACACACACACACACACACACACACACACACACACACACACACACACAGAGAGTAATTGTCATGCAGCCCACATGCTCATCAAGTCTCCATGCTTTTGTGAACCGCTCTGCTGTGATTTCAGCTAAATCCAACAAGATGGCTCTGAACTGAACCAACTCAGGAGAAGTGAAAACAGGATTCAGTGAAGCCCAGTGTTAAAATGGATGTGACAAAAACAGGAAGATTCCACAATTGAGTCAGCAAGAAGGTCATGAAAGGATTTCACAAGCTCTCACAAATAAATGAACTCTTTATTGGGGATATGGAAGATTTTAATGTGTGTCTCTCTTGGGCGTCCTCCATTTGGAAGACATTTTCAGCTTTCTGTATGCGTGGGAGTACTTTGTGCTCTGCTCTCATGTTGTTCTTCCCTTTCTCATGGCTCCTCTGAGACTGCATGCTTATACAAGTATCTGGCCTAACAGTCAGATCCCAGAGGATTACTTACATAGTATTATACATGAGAGAATAGGGCTTTGTTTCCAGGCAGATTTGTAGTGAAAAATTTTTTTTCACCTTCACATTGCTGAACATAAACTGCACAAAGCAGATGGTTGGATTCTTAAAAGGTGTCCTTGAACGCAGCGCAGCACAGAAAACCGCCTTAAAGAATTTATTTGGGTGGATCCATGAAGAGCCATAGCCTCTTTTCCCATGTGGTCAACAGGCGAACAGAAATACATTGAAAAAGATGAAAAGCAGAAGTTATCGGCCCTTTTTATTGTCCGTCCGTCCTTCCTTCCTTCTCCTGTCTCTTGCCATGAGGCCATTTTGCTGTGCCTTTGTGGCTGCTTTCCTATTTCCCCTTTGATCATGTATGTACCAGCTACAGACAGTGACTGTCTACAGTTCACTGTCTGTCCATCTGTGTGTCCCTAGATGAGCAGAAGGACTTCCATTTCAGCACCTTGAGACTCGTGGCTGGGCTTCTGTCTAGACAATGATGCCATAATCTGAGAAGTACTAAACAAATAGAGGAAACATATTAAACGGTTTACTTGTTTAGGTGGCTTGGGGGCTGAACCCACAACACAAAACTCATGTTTTCTAAATTATAGCTGAAGGAGCTGTTTTCTCATCCACCCAAATCTTTATGGGCAGATTATTAACCCACAACACAAAGTGCATGACAGTTAAGATTCACCTTGGCTTCACAGCAGGTCTCTGTTTTTATTCTTATTTATTTAACCTTTATTTAACCAGGTAAGCCAGTTGAGAACAAGTTCTCATTTACAACTGCGACCCGGCCAAGGTAAAGCAAAGCAGTGCGATTAAAAACAACAACAACACAGAGTTACATATGGAATAAACAAAACGTACAGTCGTGGTCAAAAGTTTTGAAAATGACACAAATACTAATTGTCACAAAGTCTGCTGCCTCAGTTTTGATGATGGCAATTTGCATATACTCCAGAATGTCATGAAGAGTGGTCAGATGAATTGCAATTAATTGCAAAGTCCCTCTTTGCCATGAAAATGAACTTAATCCCATTTTCAGCCCTGCCACAAAAGGACCAGCTGCCATCATGTCAGTGATTCTCTCATTAACACAGGTGAGAGTGTTGACGAGGACAAGGCTGGAGATCACTCTGTCATGCTGATTGAGTTAGAATAACAGACTGGAAGCTTTAAAAGGAGGGTGGTGCTTGAAATCATTGTTCTTCCTCTGTTAACCATGGTTACCTGCAAGGAAACACGTGCCGTCATCATTGCTTTGCAAAAAAAGGGCTTCACAGGCAAGGATATTGCTGCTAGTAAGATTGCACCTAAATCAACCATTTATCAGATCATCAAGAACTTCAAGGAGAGAGGTTCAATTGTTGTGAAGAAGGCGTCAGGGCGCCCAAGAAAGTCCAGCAAGCGCCAGGACCGTCTCCTAAAGTTGATTCAGCTGCGGGATCGGGGCACCACCAGTGCAGAGCTTGCTCAGGAATGGCAGCAGGCAGGTGTGAGTGCATCTGCAAGCACAGTGAGGCGAATACTTTTGGAGGATGGCCTGGTGTCAAGAAGGGCAGCAAAGAAGCCACTTCTCTCCAGGAAAAACATCAGGGACAGACTGATATTCTGCAAAAGGTACAGGGATTGGAATGCTGAGGACTGGGGTAAAGTCATTTTCTCTGATGAATCCCCTTTCCGATTGTTTGGGGCATCCGTAAACACCTTGTCCGGAGAAGACAAGGTGAGCGCTACCATCAGTCCTGTGTCATGCCAACAGTAAAGCATCCCGAGACCATTCATGTGTGGGGTTGCTTCTCAGCAAAGGAAGTGGGCTCACTCACAATTTTTCCTAAGAACACAGCCATGAATAAAGAATGGTACCAACACATCCTCCGAGAGCAACTTCTCCCAACCATCCAAGAACAGTTTGGTGACGACCAATGCCTTTTCCAGAATGATGGAGCACCTTGCCATAAGGCAAAAGTGATAACTAAGTGGCTCGGGGAACAAAATATCGACATTTTGGGTCCATGGCCAGCAAACTCCCCAGACCTTCGTTGAAGTCTGTTTTTTTTACACAATGTCTAGACAGCGTAGGAGGGCTAGATCAGTTTAGTCTTCACAATATACACTGAGTGTACAGAACATTAAGAACACCTGCTCTTTCCATGTCATAGACTGACCAGGTGAAAGCTATGATCCCTTATTTATAAACTTGTTAAATCCACTTCAATCAGTGTAGAAGAAGGGGAGGAGACAGGTTAAGAATGATTTTTTTTTAAAGCCTTGAGGCAATTGAGACATGGATTGTGTATGTGTGCCACTGACGGTGAATGGGCAAGACAAAATATTTAAGTGTCTTTGAACGGGGTATGGTACTAGGTGCCAGGCGCACCGGTTTGTGTCAAGAACTGCAACACTGCTAGGTTTTTCATGCTTCACAGTTTCCTGAGTGTATCAAGAATGGTCCACCACCCAAAGGATATCCAGCCAACTTGAAACAACTGTAGGAAGCATTGGAGTCAACATGGGCCAGCATCCCTGTGGAACGCTTTCAACACTTTGTCTATAGATTTTATGCAGGAGATGATTTAATGTCTTTCTCCAGGTTTGTTCTGAAGTAGCTTACCTTGTCTTATGTCTATAATCATTATGACTCTGCTTCTTTCTCCCCTTCCTGAGGTAATTGTCGTATTGTACCGCTTTAACTTTGCTCTGGAGTGGTTGCCATGGCAATTTCATAAGTCATTGATGGTGGGTCAAAATATAATATCACTGTTGCTGTGGCTGCATCGTAGAATTCAGATCAACTCTTTGTTCAGAGATATTCTCCTGATCTGTCCTTGAAGGTTCTCTAGTTCAACTGAGACATTATGTTGAGTAGACTTTGTGTCCGTTGATGTTGCGTAGTTATTGCTGCAGCCCTAAATGCATGACACTCAAACGTATCTTTTGAAATGTTAAAGGTTTTGGTAACTGCTACTGCAATGGCCTGGTCTTGGCTCCATTGGTGATGGACAAGCTAGATGTTTATCAATGCCAGAGGAACCCTTTGTTTGGCCTTGCCATGGACCCACACCCTATACAGATCATCCTGGCATATTTACTGCCTTGCAGGAATGATGGGAACTCTGTTACGGCTGCTGAAAATCATGTGACCATAGCCTTAGGAAGATGACATCTGTCTGAGAACCTCAACTGAACGTACCTGCTTTAAACATACTGTAGGATAATGGCAGTGAAGCTTTCAAATCCTGCACTACAATGTTAAAAGCCAGTCTGTTTTACCAGAATGCCTCTTTTGATACACTGCCCTCAGATATTCTTCAATCTTGCTTGTGCAGTCGCTCCAACTGCCTTACAATGATGTCATCATGATATCGGCCTATTTGCTTTAGTTTATAGCTCTGAACCTTTTGAAACTCTTGAAAATAATGGAGGACTCTCTCTCTCTGTCTGTATGGAGCCCGTCCTCCATCTGACGTCACGTGTGTGAACTGTAAATGGACTGTCCTTCAACAAGCTGCTGTACACATGGAATGCTCCTCCCGTTTGCATGAGAGTGGCCATATGGTCAATATGCTATTGTTTGGGCTGTCTGGCTCGGCAGTCTCTCAGTCAGCAGGGAGGCAGTGATTGTGATGCCTATTGAAGTGCTCACAATGGGAGGGAGTTGGGGAGTTAGAGAGATAATATTTATTATATATATATATATATACACACAGCTCTGGAAAAAATTTAAGAGACCACTGCAAAAATATAAGTTTCTCTGGTTTTACTATTTATAGGTATGTGGTTGGGTGAAATTAACATTTTTGTTTTATTCTATAAACTATTGTCATTTAGAGCATTTATTTGCAGAAAATGACAACTGGTCAAACTAACAAAAAAGATGCAGTGTTGTCAGACCTCGAATATTGCAAAGAAAATAAGTTCATGTTCATTTTTAAACAACACAATACTAATGTTTTAACTTAGGAAGAGTTCAGAAATCAATATTTGGTGGAATAACCCTGATTTTCAATCACAGCTTTCATGTGTCTTGACATGCTCTCCACCAGTCTTTGCCATTGATGTTGGGTGACTTTATGCCACTCCTGGCGCAAAAATTCAAGCAGCTCGGCTTTGTTTGATGGCTTGTGACCATCCATCATCTTCTTGATCACATTCCAGAAGTTTTCAATGGGGTTCAGGTCTGGCGATTGGGCTGGCCATGACAGGGTCTTGATCTGGTGGTCCTCCATCCACACCTTGATTGACCTGGCTGTGGGGCATGGTGCATTGTCCTGCTGGAAAAACCAATCCTCAGAGTTGGGGAACAATGTCAGAGCAAAAGGAAGCAAGTTTTCTTCCAGGACAACCTTGTACGTGGCTTGATTCATACGTCCTTCACAAAGACAAATCTCCCCGATTCCAGCCTTGCTGAAGCACCCCCAGATCATCACCGATCCTCCACCAAATCTCACAGTGGGTGCGAGACACTGTGGCTTGTAGGCCTCTCCAGGTCTCCGTCTAACCATTAGACGACCAGGTGTTGGGCAAAGCTGAAAATTGGACTCATCAGAGAAGATGACCTTACTCTAGTCCTCTACGGTCCAATCCTTATGGTCTTTTGCAAACCTCAGCCTGGCTCTTCTTTGCTTCTCATTGATGAAGGGCTTTTTTCTAGCTTGGCACGACTTCAGCCCTGCCTCTAGGAGCCTGTTTCGAACCGTCGTCGCCGTGCACTTCACCCCAGCTGCCGTTTGCCATTCTTTTTGTAAGTCACTTGATGTCATCCTACGGTTGTTGAGTGACATTCGAATGAGTTGGCGGTCATCCCGGTCAGTAGAGAGTCGTTTTCGCCCTCTACCGGTCTGTAGCTTTGTTGGCCCCAATGTCTGCTGCTTGACCTTGTTCTTATGAACCGCCATCTTTGAAATTTTAAGGATGGAAGCAACTTGACGCTAACTGTATCCCTCTGCCAGTAAAGCCAGAAATGAAGCCTTCTTTTCCTCACTCAAAACGTTCCTTTTCAACTCTTTTGGCATGGTCAATAGTTATTGTTTGATTAATATTACTTTTGACGTACTATTAGCACACACAGAGAGAGAGAGAGAGAGACTAAATGTTATTGCATTCTATTCTAAAGGACAACACAGACTTCAAAAGGCCTACTGGTAGCAGTATTTGATAGGTGGCTAGTAAGTTGGAATTGATGACCACTATAATGTACTGAATGTTTATGCAAGTAATTAGATGATACTTGCATCAGAAATGTAGCGTTGGATATTGCCACCTGTAATGCATTTGATACCACTTGTTTATAGGTTAATGCAGTGGTTCCCAACCTTTTTTGGTTACTGTACCACCTGAATTTTGCTCTGCCCGGAGTACCCCTGAAGTACCACCTCATGTGTATTTTACCAGTAGGCCTATGGTCTCATGAGTCTTCTCAAGTGGATAGGCCAAGTACCCTCAGGGGTCCTAGTACCCCTGGTTGGGAACCACTGGTCTAGCGCTAGCTGGCTGGCAGTAGGTCTTTGTGATTGCCAGGACAGCTCACCCTATAATCTACGGCCTCCATGAATGGGCAAGGGTTGATCTCCTGTGTCAGTGCAGCCTTTGTCAGCTCTGGCATGGGGCTCTGGGCATTGCTGTTCCATTCCTCTTGGTTGCTATGGACTCTGTATAGAGAGGCTTTCTGCTGGAGCCTGTTCAGATCTATCCCTGGCAGGGTTGATGTAGGGTTCACACGCCTACCTCCCCCCCCCCCCTCTCTCTCGCTCTCTCTCTCTCTGCCGTGCCGTGCCGATCCCTCTTCCTCCTCCTAACCACTTCCTCTACTCCCCTTTGGCTCCCTTCAGCGCCGGCATTGCTGTTGGTTTCTATGGGAACGGCGAGACCTGTGACGGAGTGAACAGGCTGACGTATTCCCTGCGCCACGCCAACCGCACGGTGGCAGGAGTGCAGAAACTGGTAAGACTCAGAACTCCCATCGAAATAATGACACCCCAGCAACATCTCTACTGTCACAGCCATAACATGGGCTGGGCCTACCATTCACAATTATCATACTGTTGATCACTATAAGGAGCAATGATTCCCCTGCTAACCCCACATAGATACGATATAATATAATAAAGACTATTCATTTTGTCTATCCCCATAAGGAGCGGGTTGTTTGTGACCTTGCGTGTCCCTCCCTGTGCCTACTACCTAGGTATCAGACAGCACGGGGTCCCTGAAGCAGACGGTGGATGGCAGTCTGGGGCAGCTGGAGGGCCAGTACGCCAAGCACACAGACTACCTGTCCATCATCCAGAAGCTGCAGGGCCAGCTGGACGAGCTGGTGAGGCAGATGGTGGAGATCCCCTTCTGGGACAACAGAGAAATCTCCCTGGAGGAGCTGGCCGTCAACATCGAGCTCTACGACTGGTACAGGTGAGAGACAGGGAGTCTCAATACATGACATCTCAGGACATACAATTTCTATTGTTCACCAAAACCATTACCAGAACTGAGGCTTGTTTTGTTTCATTACTTTGTTCGGCTATTGTAGGTGAATGTAGTTCAGGTTTGTTTTCCTGTCATGTTGTATGATACATTGCTTGTATTTCAAGGTAAGGATTAGTGAGTTTTTATTATTAGCTACTTTTGCTGCTGCCTCATTTACATACAGGAGCTCACAGCAACCTCGGTTTAATGGAGTGTGAACAGAACTACACAGCTTCCACTCTGAGAGGAATATACAGGATTAGCAGTTTAAGTGAACAGTACGTCGTCCCTCATAGATGTATGATTATGCCGATGTCGTCCCGCATAATTCTACTGCTAGGCCTTTTAGAGAGAGAATCATCTCAAAGTTGATACTGTTAGGTTTTAAACGAACCGAGGAAAACTCAGGGACGATTAGTAAAGCTCAACCAAGTTTATTCACCCACTGGGTCCCACAGCTGCATAAGACAAAGACATGTTTCCACCAGCACAAGTATATACATAATTTCACACAAAACTAAAAAAATGGGCCGGACAAAGTTATTGGCACCCTTTCAAAATTGTGGATAAATAAGTTTGTTCCAAGCATGTGATGCTCCTTTAAACTCACCTGGGGCAAGTAACAGGTGTGGGCAATCTAAAAATCACACCTGAAAGCAGATAAAAAGGAGAGAAGTTGACTCAGTCTTTGCATTGTGTTTCTGTGTGTGCCACACTAAGCATGGAGAACAGAAAGAGGAAAAGAGAACTGTCTGAGGACTTGAGAACCAAAATTGTGGAAAAATATCAACAATCTCAAGGTTACAAGTCCATCTCCAGAGATCTAGATGTTCCTTTGTCCACAGTGCGCAACATGATCAAGAAGTTTGCAACCCATGGCACTGTAGCTAATCTCCCTGGACGTGGACGGAAGAGAAAAATTGATGAAAGGTTGCAACGCAGGATAGTCCGGATGGTGGATAAGCAGCCCCAAACAAGTTCCAAAGAAATTCAAGCTGTCCTGCAGGCTCAGGGTGCATCAGTGTCAGCGCGAACTATACGTCGAAATTTGAATGAAATGAAACGCTATGGCAGGAGACCCAGGAGGACCCCACTGCTGACACAGAGACATAAAAAAGCAAGACTACAGTTTGCCAAAATGTACATGAGTAAGCCAAATTCCTTCTGGGAGAACGTCTTATGGACAGATGAGACCAAGATAGAGCTTTTTGGTAAAGCACATCGTTCTACTGTTTACCGAAAATGTAATGAAGCCTTCAAAGAAAAGAACACAGTACCTACAGTCAAATATGGTGGAGGTTCAAAGATGTTTTGGGGTTGTTTTGCTGCCTCTGGCACTGGGTGCCTTGACTGTGTGCAAGGCATCATGAAATCTGAGGATTACCAAAGGATTTTGGGTCGCAATGTAGGGCCCAGTGTCAGAAAGCTGGGTTTGCGTCCGAGATCATGGGTCTTCCAGCAGGACAATGACCCCAAACATACTTCAAAAAGCACCCAGAAATGGATGGCAACAAAGCGCTGGAGAGTTCTGAAGTGGCCAGCAATGAGTCCAGATCTTAATCCCATTGAACACCTGTGGAGAGATCTTAAAATTGCTGTTGGGAAAAGGCACCCATCCAATATGAGAGACCTGGAGCAGTTTGCAAAAGAAGAGTGGTCCAAAATTCCGGGTGAGAGGTGTAAGAAGCTTATTGATGGTTATAGGAAGCGACTGATTTCAGTTATTTTTTCCAAAGGGTGTGCAACTAAATATTAAGTTAAGGGTGCCAATCATTTTGTCCGGCCCATTTTTTGAGTTTTGTGTGAAATTATGTCAAATTTGCTTTTTTCCTGTTTTTTTTGTGTTATTCCAATACACACAAAGGAAATAAACATGTGCATAGCAAAACATGTGTAATTTCAATACTTTTCTGTGAGAAATACTTCATTTTCTGGAAAAATTTCAGGGGTGCCAACAATTTTGGCCATGACTGTATACCCCAATTTGGGTGAAGTATCCTCCTTCCCTCTAAACATTACATGTTTATTGCTAGGCAGGAAGTTAAGTGATGCAGGCAATAAACTGTTCCTTCTCCCTTAATGTGACCTGACCTAACCTCATTCCTCACTCCTCACTGATCCACAGCTATCAACCCTTATCAGTGACTGCAACCATGTGATTGCCTCCACCATATACATTCCTCCTACAGATAACCATTAACTTCCGGTGTAGAAACCAGACTATGGCACTCCTCATTTCCATAGGATACTTGATAATTAACAATAACATGTTCTGTCAGTACTTACACGTCCTGCATTCCTCTCTCTTCCTCTGTGACATGATTAAGGATATTTCTAGTTTATAAGTCAGAACCCATCAATACTCAGAAAATGACTAAGCTAATATGAACTTGAACAGACCTCAGATTTCTCTGGGAAAACCCCTCAAATTAACCATTTAGTGGGAGGAGATACTGGATGAAACCCAAAACACACAACACAGTCATCCCTCTTCCTGTAACTCGTGTTAACACCCATGCAGTATAAGGTAGAGTTTATTCGATATCCTCAGTAAATTTCACAGTTGAATAGTTCATCTCTCTCCTGGTGAAACTGTCCAGCCAGCCAGTCAGTAATGTTCAGTTGGATCTGTATGAGTGTGAAAGTAGCTAACAGAGACAACTGGAGTCAACAGTGGAAACACCCTTACAGTTAAATCAGTCTGATTCAGCAGCCGACCCTCGCTGCTGCTTCCTCTTGAGATCTCAAACACTGCCTCTCTTAGCATCTCGCAGGGGAAGTTTACTTCAAATCACATCTCCTTTTTGTTTTGTGTACGTTTAAAGCAATCCCCATGTTTGTACCCTTTAGATTTATTTAACAGTACCAATGTGATCTGTACAGTGGTCATAGATAACCTTCTCCTTTTTCTTGCTGTACTGTGCTGCGTTTGTCAGCAGGTTTTCGGGTTTCTTCAGTCAGTTGGTCTATAGTTCTGTTGGGTGTTGTTGTTTTCCACCTCAGGTGGCTGGGCTACTTGGGCCTGCTGTTGTTCAACATCCTCATCTGCCTGCTGGTGCTGTTTGGCCTCATTCGCAACTCCAAGGGAACGCTTATTGGGTAAGTCCAACCATGTGATCATGTGGGGAAGTGAAACAGTAAGAATAGTGGGGAGGGGGACGATATTCTGCTAGGCCATATATTTATAGCAATTGTCATGCTATTGAATGATTTAACAAAATTAAAGCCTCCGACGTGTCAGAAGTTTTATCTCAAGTATCACTTTGTTTGCCCTTTGCAAATTACTTTTGACTGTACGCTGAACAACCTTGTCATTGCGATTATGTGAGACGAATTCACGCTTCATGGAGTGTCAGCCGGTCACAGTCCATTTGGAATGTGCATTAAAACGAATCTCTCCGAAAATTCCTCTCTGTCTCAACTCTTGACAACTCTGCAGGTAAGTATGTTGGATCCTTTTTAAAAGGCATCAAGGACACAGGCTCAGCACTGCCTGTCCTCTCTTCAGTCCCTGCCCTTCTAATTAATGTAATGATCTGTGTCTGTGGATACAGCGGGGTCAGTTTGGGTGGCTCATTGTCATTTGAGTCCGTTCAAGAGCATTAGGCTTCATTGGTTCCCCCAGGTCCCCCTCTCCTAGCCCTCCTATGTCCTGTCATCTCACTCATCCTCAGTGAATCAGACCCAGGTCATCCTCAAGCCCTGCCCAGAGACATAATAATGAACCCTAACTCTCTTTGTGAGATGAGGGAAACATTATCCCAAGTCCCTGTGGGTGTTTAGGGTTGAAATCAAGGTTTCCTTTTTAATAGCTCAACATTAAACCCTCCAGCATTTTATTTAGATCAGTCAAAATGTGTAATAGCCATCATTTGGGGTTAAGGCTAAGCAACTACCAGTCCAAGGTAATTTTCCCTCAAAACTTTTTCGGCATTGAGCATATTTTTGGTCTGCTGAGAGGAAACTTGAATGTTATGAAAATTCTATTAAACTTCTGGGACGTGTTTACTGTACCCACTTTAAGATAGTTTTAACAGTGGCCAAGTAGGCTACTGTGGCCACACCAAGTAAGCTACTGTGGCTATTTGGTCATAATGTAGGCCTACCAGAGTGGCCTACCATAAAAAACTATGGAGAAAATGCATCCCATAACATTTTAACATGGAAATAACTGTTCTATGATACAGCCTACAGTAGCAGCCAATGTCTGGTGTTTTGAAAACATGCATGGCTTGACATGAACCTGTTTAGCCACTTCTCCTTCAGACAATGATGTGACTGAAACTGTTGTGTTGTTTGATGCAAGAGACCACTTTACATAATAAAATGCAATATTATTCCTATACCAGTATTATTATTTCAGAGAATCAGACAAGAATGTATGCTTCCCTCTGCATGTTGGCTACTTAGCTTATTCAAGCCTGTCTTAAAATACAACACTGCCCCTGAAAGCCAGAAAAAAAAGCTCTTTACCTGACTCGGTTTTCAAAGATGGCTAGAAATGTACACATTTTGTGTAGGGTTGGGAATTGCCAGAGACCTCACGATACGATATTTTCATGGTTAGGTGCCAATACGATATGTATGACGATTCTATATGTATTAGCGATTCGATACTGTGATTTTATTGCGATTCGGCGTTCCAAACATATTGCTCACAAGAGAGCCATGAGAAAACGAGTTTTGAACAGTTATGGAAATAAAAGTGCTTAAAAAAAATGAGCTCCCTATTTAAAAAGAAGATGGAGAACAAGCTACGAAATAAAAAATACTATAGATACAGCAAACTAGCGCATAAATAATATTGCGATGTTGTCCAAACGATACGATATATCGTAAAGATTATATCCGGATATGTAACTGTATCGATTCCCCCACCATCATTAATTTTGTGCTCTTGTAGGAAGCAATCACTCCCCGATTGCTGACCAAAAATTTGCTACAGTTAACTCACTAACTAGCAAAGAATAGGCCTATGAGCAAATGTGCTAGGGCTGTACCTGAATAAAAAATATAAAAAACTTAGTCGACCGAGATTCGTCTGTTCTTTCGACCAATCGATTTTGTCGAAATTTTAAAATGTGTATTTTTCCATATATAGACACATCCTATGTGTTTTAATCAAATCAACGATATGTACTAAGCTTGTCTGATACTTTAAGCACACTGTTTGATTAAATAATTAAGACACCTCCCGAGTGGCGCATCGGTCTAAGGCACTGCGTCGCAGTGCTTGAGGCATCACTACAGAGCCGGGTTCGATCCCAGGCTGTGTCACAACCGGCCGTGACCGGGAGTCCCATAGGGTGGCGCACAATTGGCCCAGCGTCGTCCGGGTTAAGGGAGGGTTTGGCCGGGGGGGCTTTACTTGGCTCAACGCGCTCTAGTGGGCCGGGCGCCTGCAGGCTGACTTCGCTCTTCAGTTGGACGGTGTTTCCTCCGACACATTGGTGCGGCTGGACCTGAAGCAAGGAAATGCATATTATTGATACCATTTGAAAGGAAACACTTTGAAGTTTGTGGAAATGTGAAATTAATGTAGGAGAATATAACACATTAGATCTGGTAAAAGATAATACAAACAAAAAAACATGCGTTTTCTTTTTTTTCTTTTTTTCATCTTTGAAATGCAAGAGAAAGGCCACAATATAATATTGCAGTTTAGGCGCAATTTAGATTTTGGCCACTAGATAACAGCAGTGTGTGTGCAAAGTTTCAGATTGATCCAGTGAAGCATTGCAAGACTGGACTATTTTGTATCAAGTCTGCCCAAATGTTCCGAATTGGTCAATTGATACATTTTCATGTACATAACTATAGAGAACATACAAAAAGTATATGGTAATACAAAATGTAAGTGTACACACTCCCAGGAATGTCATACATGATGGATCATTAACTTATAAACTAACTTTCACACATCTAGATGGCCAGGCTGGGTGGGTGTGGAGCCAGAGACAGTAGGGGTTCAAACTGTAGAACCCAGTTCCTACATTTGAATATACAAATTGATTTTTTCAAACAAAACTATGCTACATTTTATCTCTGGGACCCTTAGGATGACAAATCAGAGCAAGATTATTGAATATAAGTACATTATTTACCTTCAGAAGTGAATGTATCAAACCAGTTGCCATGATACGTTTTTTGTTGTTGTGCACTTTCCTCAAACAATAGCATGGTATTTTTTCACTGTAATAGCTACTGTAAATTGGACAGTGCAGTTAGATTAACAAGAATTTAAGCTTTCTGCCCATAGAAGACATGTCTATGTCCTGGAAAGTTAGCTGTTCCTTACATCAGTCATGCTAATCACATTAACGCACGTTAGCTCAACCGTCCCGTATACGGGACACCGATCCCGTAGAGGTTAACCAAATCCGTCATTTGTTTAGGAAAAACATTCCCTATTTCCTCAACCCTTGCTCTCTTTACGTGACACATGTATGCATCGTATGCACGTGACAAATAGGGCCTGACCTATAGCATATCATAATTACATAAATATATCGGTTTGAACAAACTCAGAACACCGTAACACGTGACAGCAAAATGGATGCAGAGGATGCGACAAACGGGAATGTTTACTGGTTGCTCAGTAGGTAAAGGGGGATTCAGATGTGTAGAATACATTTGACTAGTTGTGGAAAATACAGGAGATCAAGAAAAATAAGGTACGGCGCAAGCGCTGCGTGCATATTATCTGTGGCAAACAGTTGCTGTTAGATTACAATATAATTTTTCTGACCGTTTGGAACAAGGTAAACAACACTAAATTAATTATAAGCATACCAGAGAGTCTGTTGTAATGTTTTTGTTTTTTGTAAAGCCTTTATTACAGCAAAGACTAAAAGCAGTCGGATTCATTCTTGAATGCAATTTCCGAAATGGAACGGTTTATTTATTGTTTACACTAATTATTTGCTTTGTTATTTTAAAACTAAAATGCTTGATTGCATTTCAAATCATTTGAATGACTCATATGCTATGTGATGACATGAATGATTGACTGATACAGTACTGTAGCCTATATAAGTATTGAAATATAGGCCTAAGTAAGTTACGGTATTAAGACTAAACAGGAGGCGCTCTTAGGCCTACAGATTGATGGTGGTTATACAAGGCTGCTATGGCTGCTATACTAAGCCTACTAATGATAATGACATTACTTATTATTATTATTATTATTATAATGATGATCATAACAATAAAAGTAATAATAATGAGATCAAGAAAAAGGAGGGTTATTATTATTATAAATAGTATTTTTCGGACAATTTGGAACAGTGTAAACAACACTAAATAAATTATAAATAATATCAGAGAGGCAGTTCTGACGAAAATAAGTGTAAAGCCTTTATTACAGCATAGCAAAGATTACAAACACAGGTGAATTTGTGAAATTGTTTATCCGACTTGTTGCGTGAGGCTTGGTGCTCACGGAATCAGTAGGCTATTAAACAAACACTCAAACAGGCAACAGAAGCAGGATCTGTCTTATTTCTGTAGATATATATGGATGATTTATTAAGCCAAGCACATTTAACAGTTTGGCTTTTGATTATAGACCTAATTAAGTTTGAGTTTCCTCTCTCCCCACTTTTCTTAGACAATTAAGGCAAGGGCTGTTTTCTCGTCTCCTAACTCCACTGCTGCCTCCACCGTATTGTTCTCAACACCAATATGCTGGTTAACTTTGCTATTATGCACATAGCAACATGGTCTAGGAAAAGGCGCCAATTCAACAGCGCACTGTGTTTCAGAACCACGGACAGCGACCGCCATCCAACGCAGAAGGAAGCGCATTTGTTATAAAATAATAATATTTGTATTAGTGTTGCACCATTGTTCTTACGTAATATAACCATATACAATTTCAGTTGCACATCTTAGAGTGATGGACTGTGCCATCCCCACGGCCTCCAGAATGGATCAGTCCACTCAGACAGGTGCGAGTCAGACAGGAGTCTTGTACACATTATTTTATGATACATTTTTTTGCTACTGCTCGACTAAAGAAATCTCGGTCGACCAACAGCCGATCGACCAAACAATCGACCAGTCGACTAAATGGGGTCAGCCCTAAAATGTGCACGCGTATACATGAGGTTCTTCACTTTGATCTCAAAACAAGCGCATCTGCTTGCGACCGCTCGTGCCTGTCAATGCAATAGAATCCTCCTCCGATGCGCTCTGCCTAGAACAAAATCTCAGACCATTTCTTTCCGTTATGTTGCATTGAAAAGGGGCTAATATTATTCCCACAGTTGAGGGAAACGTTGATAGTGTAAACTAACGGGGTGAAACTATAGTGAAGTTCAGTGTCGTGCATCTCTGCGGGGGCTGATATTTCTTCTGGGCGGCAGTCCTGTTCTAACCTCTCTCCTCCCTCTCTCTCTCCGCCCCCAGAGTGTGTCTTCTGAGCATGCTGGCTCTGGTTATCAGCTGGGCCTCCCTGGGTCTGGAGTTGGCTGTTTCTGCCGTGAGTATCTCCATGGGAACATGGTTCTATATATCTATGTTGAGGCTGGAACCCAGAGCTCAGTCCCAGTAGTGTGGGAGTTAGAACCTGTACAACCTTTACCTGAATCACTGTACTGGGCCAGTTGACACTGAACAAAATAGAATGTTTGGCATAAGGTATTATTATCAGTATGAGTCATGAAGTTAGGTTTGTTAGCACTTGCTAAGTTTATCTAGGGACAATTGCGAGGCAGACTAGCTACTACAGTTTATAGCTGGTTCAGTGTGCCGTTCATTGTGCGCAGCATGCCTTTATCAAATATATAGGACCCAGTGGGATCTGTCTTTATGCAAATCCCCCTCCCACACCATTTAAAATGGATAATTCCCTCCCCTGCATATGAATCAGAGATGACCCCCTGCCTCGTCTTCCTTCCGTAACACGGTGGTGCATATTATCTTTATTACCTCCAGATGGAATCCTCTACTGAGACTGATTATCCTACAGACTAAACATTCTCATTATTCTAACTACTGTGTTGTTGTGAAATGTCCTGTTGTGTTTCAGATTGTGTGAAATGTGTTTTACTCCCTCTTTGCAGACTTCCAGTGACTTCTGCGTTGCTCCTGACATGTTTGTCACCCAAATGACAGAACAGTATGGAGTGCTCAATAAAGGTAAATATTCATTAAGAGACGTGTCATGTTTATTGTGAGATCAATCATAAAGTGAAATATAGACATTGCGCTGTATGAGATTCACTTCTAACTCTACTTTTAACAGTTGTTTGTGCAAGAATTCTGAGAGGCAAGTTTTTGTTAGAGATGTCTCACAGTCACATAAGCTTTCATATCCTGTTTGTTTTGGAGGAGAACCGTCTGCTGACTATGAAAATCTCTCTTCAACTTGACAGAACACTACAACAGTTGTAGAAAATAGAAAATCGTTGTAGGGGAAATGCATAACACCAATGACAAGTCTGGCTCTAACACTGTCTGTTTGTTTGTGATAAAATATGAGTGTTTCTTTTGTCGAGGAATACTCTCATCTGGAGGATGTTTTGATAGCTCTGAGAAATTATTGATTTGGATTCATTCTCATCAGTAGCATGCGCACTGAGATATGATGCAGAAATAATGACAGAGCAACGACACAAATGCCAAAAGCGCTTTAATATGTGCCAGATAAGCCCAATCAGTGTGATGCTCAATCAATCCCCCATCCCACCCTGGGGAGATATATAAACCTGTTTCTATTCTCTGGCCAGCGGTAAAATATATTGCTTTCAGATTTATGGACCTGGGCTAGGGTGCATGAGCTACCTCCTCAAACCTGTAATAGGACTCAATAAATTACCCCCAGAGCATCTGTCGCCGGGCAGACAAGCCATGGGTGACGGGCTGCGCTGCATTTTAAGTGTCCAATGCGGCCCGTGGAGTAATTGGCCAATCTGGTCCCATGATGAGGTGAAAGAAGTGTGAGAGGAGAGGGATAGAGCCCGGAGTGTGTGAATGAGATAAGACCAGCGGAGGAGGGGGATGAGGAGAGACATGCTATGGTGGAGAAGGCAGGCAGAGTGTGTGTGTTTGTTCCTACTGCAGTCGACGGTATCTGTGGGAAAGTACTGCGTAATTTAACACGGTCACAGGTAGGGCTGGGAATTGCCAGGGACCTCATGATACGATATTATCACGATACTTGGGTGCCTTGAGATTTTCGCAATTCTCACAAGGGAGCTATGAGAAAAAAGTTTTGATCAGTCATGGAAATAAAAGTGCTGAAAACAAATTGGCTCACTATTTCACAAAATAAGAAGCTATGAAGGAAACGTTTTGGTGTAGGTACAGCCAACTAGCACAAAAATAATATTGCGATATTATCAAAACCATACGATATATCGTCAAAAATACCCTAATGTAACTGTATCGATTTAACTATTTTCCCCCATCACTAGTGCCCAGTTAGTCATCCTCCCTCTAAATCACCACTCCAGCTTTCACTCTCCATTGTCAAGTCGTTGCTGGAGAGAATAGAGCTCTCTACCGTCTCATTGTGAAGCCCTCTCTGCCTACTCGCAATAGGAATACTAGAGGAGGAACTATAGGAATAAAGAAAGCCAACATTAACTGTAGATCCTGATTAGTGTAACTATTGTTGTTAAGACTCATTTGACCTATGTGCATCATCTCATCTTCAGTACAGTAGCTTCCCCCACTGCCTTGAGGCTGGAATCAGGCAGTCAGGGGTGTTTGTGTGTTCTATTTTCCTTGCGTGTTAACATGCCTGTGTGTTTATAAGCAGCAATGTAAATTATTTAAAGACAATATAAGGGGGTTTAGACTTACAAGGGAGCTGAACATTTATGTGACATTGCAAGACTTGATTTTAAATTATTACGCTAGTTGTAATATGACTCTATAAGAGAGTCTCTCTCTCTCTTCAACATGGTGTCCAGTACATGTTTGTGACCCCTAAGAATGGCCTTGCCTTCCACCCCTAGGTTGTTCTCGATCTACAATGGCAGCCTTTGAAAAGGTCGCCCTTTTCATTACCTTTATTCCATTCTGTCCTTATTTCATACCTGCCGTCCTGGACAAGCCATTACTGTTTATTTTGCCCTGGTAAACAAACGCTACAGACTATACCTCACTCTGCAGCACTGAGGTCTCTCTGTGAATAATTTCAACAGCTCTGTTGCCATTCTTCATCTTATCTGTTGTTCCTCACTGGCCGTAATATGTATATCTTTACTGCCCTGTCCTAGCCCCGACAGAAAGGCTGTTCTTTACTGCCCTGTCCTAGCCCCGACAGAAAGGCTGTTCTTTACTGCCCTGTCCTAGCCCCGACAGAAAGGCTGTTCTTTACTGCCCTGTCCTAGAAGGCTGTTCTTTACTGCCCTGTCCTAGCCCGACAGAAAAGCTGTTCTATTCTCCCGTTTTCTACTTAATGTTTCGGCCATTGTTTCTCTTTTACATCACTCTGACATTTTAGTAGTAAAATCCTGAACCCAATTATTGCAGATCCCACAAAGAGAAGTTATGAGTCTGTCATCTCTGACTGGCTGCTTTAAACACTATTACAAGCCGTAAATGAGAGGTCTTCTATTCAGCCTGTTGTATATGGCCATCCAAGGATATAATTGAATGAGCAGTTCATTTCCCTTTTCAGTGGCATAATTACACTGTTTATGAGACTCACAGGGAGGGAGCTTAGAGTAGCTAAGGCAGATGTGAACTGGCCCATCCATAACCAGAGCAGACTGCTGCTGTTCTCTCTACCACTCACTGTGCGCGTGCGTGTGCGCGTGCGAGAGAGATGGGAGGTTTCTGAGAGAAATGTAAAAGCACACTTTGGAACCAATTGACAGCTCTGCGAAATCCTCACAGAGAATTGTAATATCTGGAACCCACTTGACTGTGTGGTAGTCAGTGGACGTTACAGACCAGTGTGGCGTAAGGAACAGGATGCCATGTGTTGTGTTGGTGGTGTTGGTGATATTCTCTCTGATTAATGCTGGGGACCAGAAGGAGAGGCACTCTGATTCAAGCCTGTGCCATGGTGTGCTATGTTTGAGTCACGCACTCCCAAATATCATTATTTATTAAATTGTATGTGGGTGGGTGTGTGTGGGTGAGAATACGTGTCTCCTTCTCACACCATCCCAGATTGAGTTCCCTAAAGCAGGATACTATTAATCCTACTGGCACAGTGTGCCTGACCGTGCTGCTAGCTAACCCATTAGCATTGTTTACGGAGCTCTGAACCGTCCCCATCGATCCAGGTTCTATCCCAAATGGCACCCTATTCCCTGTATAGTGCACTACTATTGACTAGAGTGTAGGGTAGCCATGTAGGATACCATTTGAGACGCAACCCCAGTTTCCTCTCCTTACAATCCCCCAGTCAGCTCTGCTCTGCAGTACCTTGTTAAGAAGCTAATCGGCATACATTGATTACTCTACAGGCCCTCCCAACGATCATTATTCACCCACTTCAGAAAAGCAACCCCAGAAATAACCCAATCTCTGTCCGTCTCTGTCTCTGGGGAAGCTGACCTGAGATGATACCACAGCACTGTAGGCTATGGGGTTATGGGGTTCACCACCTGACATTCAGTAGACTGGGCACTGCTTCAGGCAGTGGCATATAAAGGCTATGGGATGTCAAGGTCAGGGAATTGAAATATCATCCAGTAAGTCACCATGGTGGCAAATGAGACCTCCACTGAAGCTTCTAAAGGAGCTGGTTTCATGTGTGAAATGGTTGGAGAAAACCTTATGTCCTCTGTGAGAATGGGTTAATGCAATTCACCTTATTGATCAATTGACTGTCACTGTACTATAACTAACTACACTGAGATTGTCTGCAGTACTGCTCACATCATCTGATCCAGTCCTGTTGTATGTGTTTTTCCACAGACATTTTGCAGTACTACATGAGATGCAGTGTGGACCAAAACAACCCATTCCAACAGGTAGGCTACTTCAAACTAACTTTTACTGGCCATCATATTTTCAGTAGCAAAGAGCTTTGATATTGGCATCACAGACCCAATGATGTGTTGGTTTTATAACATGTTTAGTATTCATATCATCTATTTCAGTAGACAGTATATGCGTGAATCAGGCTGATATGTAACTTTCATGCAGCCATCATTTATCTGGTCTAATGAGGCTGAACAGTGTGATGACTCTCATCTAGCTAATGCATCTCACTGCATACAGTGCATTTGGAAAGTATTCAGACCCCTTGACTTTTTCCCAAAAAATATATGATACAGCCTTATTCTAAAATGGAAATATCACATTTACATAAGTATACAGACCCTTTACTCAGTACTTTGTTGAAGCACCTTTAGCAGCGATTACAGCCTCAAGTCTTCTTTGGTATGACGCTAGAAGCTTGGCACACCTGTATTTGGGGAGTTTCTCCCATTCTTCTCTGCAGATCCTCTCAAGCTCTGTCAGGTTGGATGGGGAGCGTCGATGCACAGCTATTTTCAGGTCTCTCCAGAGATGTTCGATCATGTTCAAGTCCGGGCTCTGGATGGGCCACTCAAGGACATGTCAGCTTTTCCCAGCTTTTCATGGAGGTTTAAATGTAGAACTGCGAAACGGCCACTAAGGCAATTGCCAGTGTTAAATATGAATGTGATTTGAAGACCCTACCCTAAGACCCTTTCTGTGACTTGCTTTTAATGGACTGTAGTGGTTTTTTTCTATTCTCATGAATTGATCAAATGACTTAGTGCAGTACAAGCCCAGGCTTAGCTATCACAGGTACATCTGTAAAGAGAAAAGTTTGATACATAATGCATGCCATATATCTCACAGGTACAGGGTGTCAATGTGCCAACATTGGGTTGAGTGTGAAGGGACATATTTGACTATCAGAAAGGACTAGTTTTCGCTAGCAGGGGGTTTATATTTTCTGTGTAAGGGTCAGGTGACATTGAACAAGTAGTGTAGTACTCAATGCAATGTCTGATACAGGCGGTTGTGTTTTCCTCTTGTGTTGTAGAAGTTGTCCGGGAGCCACAAAGCCTTAGTGGAGATGCAGGACGACTTGTCTGAACTGCTCCGCTCGGCCACCAGAGAGTACCCCCAAACTAAGGTGAGTGTCCTGACTCTTGCGATCTATCACTTTACTTCCTGCTGTGAATGCCACCTCCCAGTGTACTGATATTACAGTATACCTGCTGGCTCAGTCACTCCACACAAACACACCCTGCCTTCCCCCTGGTCTGGCTACACTGGCTGTACTATTGTAGCAATTCTAAGGGTTGAATGGAACCAAAGGACCAACAGGCAGAGAGAGAGGAGATGAGCGCACCTGGCCATAAAAGTCTGCTGACACGTCACCTTTGCATTATGCTCATGTTACTTTCACTGGCCTCCTGTACAGCCCTGTGTTGTATTATCCAGCGATGATCCTTCCACTGTGTGCACAGAGGAACAAATGATGCCTGACATTTGGGACGTGTTGGAAAATAGAGGCAGGCAGGCAGGCATACTTCAGTGGCACAGTGAAGAGAGAAAATGCTGAGTTCATGGAAACATTTCACATACTGTAGGGCTATCAGAGATGTATAACTCTGCCAACACTCAACAGCCCTCATGTCCTATTTGGTCATTTAAAATGCACCTCTGGACAAACGCTGTTCTCTACCGACCGTTACAGTCCATAGGAAAATGTAATCCGAACGTAGTTTGTTATTACTCCTCGTGCAGACAGACTGCGGTATAGCCTAAGTTTGAGAATCGGAGGAAGTACCTTCATTTCAATGGAATGTGGCGCGCACCATTAAAACTCTGGAGTCTGTCTGCAAGAGGCGTCAGGGTTGCTGACTCTGTTTTGGTTTGGGAGTTTTCTCAAAGTTTCGCCGACTCTACTTTTGTTGACCTCATACAAACCTTCTTTACTAGTTTAAGTAGGACACCTAAATAAGTATTCAAAGTATCTCTTTCATACACACATGCACACTGAGACAGTGGTCTGGCCTAATTTACTGTGTTAAATGGAGACCTGGCCCTGTTTTTAAACTGTGTGTGTGTGTGTCTTGCAGGGGAATCTAGAACAGATCCAGGGGGTACTGAACACCACAGAGATTGGCCTGCATCAGCTCACTGCCCTGGTGGACTGCCGCAGCCTGCACATGGTGAGCTGCCTTCCTGCCTGGGACTACAGGGGAACCATGGCTAACATCCTTACTCCACAGGGGGTGTTGTATGGTCTCTGTGTTGTATGTTCATGGTCTACATGTGTACATATCCCTCTCTGTGATGTGATTTTAGCATATTCAGTGCACGTCTAGTCCGATGATGTTTGCAGATGTGTATGCGAGCTGTGTAAACGGTCCAGTGAGCCCGTTGCATGACTTGCAGTTGGCGTTCCCTCTGTCTGTGTGGTGGAGAGGACCACGTTCACAGTTCACACTCCTGTGCATCTGCGCCGCTCAGCTGAGCTCAACTCTGCTCCACTGCTCTTGGTTCAGCCCTGTATTCAACCCCGCTCTGCTCCTCTCTGCCTGCAGGGCACCCGCCGCCCTGGGCTGGGCAGCATATCTCTATGATCTGTAGTAGCAGCCCTCCCTGACAGCTCTTCACATCCTCCCCTGTTAACGCCTATGTGGCCAGGCCCACTGTCACACTCAGAACCCTGCCTGGGTCTCACTGTTCCTACTGTCACTCCCACTTTCATCCCCACCACTCACTGCCCTCACCGCAGAGGGCAGGAGAACCTGAGCCAATCAACCAGTAGCCCAGGAGCTCACATTCTGCCTATACCAGGGCTACTTTCAGTAGGCAAACTTTGTGTAATGTTGCAGACCGAAATGTCATGACATGAATAGAGCTGATGTGATTTGTTCTTCTACAGAGAGGGATGTTTGTTCTGCATCATATATTTCTTTCTGAACATTGTGCTGAGCATGACCCAGGAGGATGCCGTAACACGTCTGCTACTACATCACATGTAAACATGCTATACCTAGAAGGAACATCCAAGAGGTCTCTCAATGCAAATGCAGGAAGCAGAAGCACCCATCATGAAAGGTTTTCTTTAAAAGCTGGACTATATTATTCCCCACTTACTCTGTGCTTTTGTCATGTTGAATAGCTCTCCTGGGTAATGCACATGTTGTTGAGCTACTTCCTCTCAATAATGACTGTAATGTGCCTGGCTCTGACGCAAGGCACAAGAAAAGCACTGTCTTGGCCTGCTTTCACTCCTCGACACGAGGCGGAGTTAGGGTTAAATAGTAATGTCTAACCTTCCTCTTCCAGCATGTGTAGCATGTGTGTCAGACAGGGCGCTGCGTACAGGAACCCTGTGTAGCAAACAGACAGGCAATATGAAGCATCTGTTTGGTAGGTCTGTCTGGTTAGTTGTATTTCTATGACATGATGTGGACGTCTAGCCTGTGCACTAGTTGTCATAGATACATGCATGTACAGCATATGACATGACAACGAACCAGACAGTAGTGATGGGAGGAAAGATCGATATAGTTACATATCGGGGTATTCTTTTTGACGATATATCGCATAGTTTTGACAATATCGCAATAATATTTTTGCGCTAGTTTGCTGTACATGCACCAAAACCACAGTATTTTCCCTTCATACCTTGTTCTCCATCTTCTTTTTAAATAGGGAGCCAATTAGTTTTCAGCACTTTTATTTCCGTGACTGATCAAAACTCATTTTCTCATGGCTCTGTCCCTTTTCCAATTTCAAACAGAAAAATTTTTTGGGTGACGAACGCCCCTTAAAAACAGGAAGAGACAATGAAAGCTTTTCAAATAAATCAAGTAAATAGAACCGTTTTGTTGGTTTTTAAAGGGAAAAGTACGCCCAATAGAATAGTAAATATGAAACAAGTTTCCCTTTTTTGGGAATTTCCCCGGAATTTAAAATTACGGCACCTTAAAGATCGCCCATAACAGGTTTTAAGTATAATTAATGCCCCCAAAGGATCCCCCCACCCTTTTTTATTTTGGGTTTTTTTCAGGGGGGCAACACTTAAAATTTTCACTTTTCACAATTGATATGTCCTTTTATAAAAAGGCCTTTTTGTCCGTAAAAAAAAAGGTTAAAAAGTGGCCCAAAAAAGTGAGACCCCCTAAAAATTTTAAGGGAAAAATTTTTTGGGGGAATCTTTTCCCGGTGCCAACCCCTTTGGGAAAAGGGCCCCTTTCACAATTTAAAAAGGAGGTTCACCTTTTATAAACAGTTGGGGGAAAGGGGGCCTTTTCCCCTCAAATTCCAAACCCCCCAGTTCCTGGGTTTTGGTTTTTTTAAACTTGTGTCCCCCAAATTTACCCCCCTTTTTTGGGAATGTTCCCAATTGGGGCCCAAAAAATTCCAATAGGGGCCCCTTTATTTTCAAGCGGGGACTGGTTCCCTCCTGGGCTGGAGCCCCCCAAAATTTCCCGGAGCCTCTTCCCCCCCCCCATGAAACTCCCCCAACCTGGTTGGGTGTTTGGAAAAATTGCACTCCCCCCCCTTTCCCCAAGGACCCCACAACCAAAAAATTTATCTGGGACAGCCGGCTAGTTTTTAAACCCCCTTACCTGCTTTCTTAGCAAACCCGTTTTCGGGCCTTTTTTGGCCATCTTTTTAAGGGGGGGCTTCCTTTAGAAGCCACAGACCTTGTTGGGATTCGGCCTAAAGGCTGAGCCCCACCGGTGCCCCCCACCCCAAATTTCAGCCCCAGACATGCATTTTCCCAAAAAACCCAATGGGTGGACGTGGGAAGCAACTTCTTTGGGCCCCAAACCTGGGTTTGGGGGAAACCTTTTCCCTGAAACCCCTGTTTTCTTGGGGCCCCCGGCCAGGCTGTTTCCCGGTTTTTGCAAAAGTTTTGCCCAGGGAAAAATTTTTGGGGGCCTTCCCTTTTTTTAAAATTCCTTTTGGGGGGCGCCATGAGGCCCAAATTTTAAAATTCCCGTGGCCGTTGGGGGGTTGGGGCATGACCCAAATTTTCCCCCCCCCCTTCAACCCTGGCCTTGGCACACTAAAAGTCCAAAACCCGGGGGCAAAATCTTTTGGGAATTTTACCAATGAGGGGGTGATCAAATTTTTTGGCCACCTTTTGAAAAGGCCTTTTTTGAGTTTTGGGGGAACAATTTTCCGGGTTTTAAAAGCTGTACTTCACCTACTTTTATTTTTTCGTTTAATTTCTATAGGGCCCCATGAAAAAAACCAAAAATTTTTTTTAAAGGGGGGTTCCCCAGAGATTTTTTGATGAGGGGAAAGTTGAACCCTTTCCCGGGGAATAGGGGAAGTTTGAGAGCTGACCCAAATTTTAACCCCCCCTGTCACCCATTCAATGAGGACCCTTTAAACCTTTTGGTTTTCCCCATGACAAAGGGGGTTTTGGAAAATTTTTGGGGGTTTTTTGGGCCCCCTTGGCCCCTTTTTAAAGGGGTGTTATTCTTTGTTGCCCGGGGTTTTTTAGGGCATTTGGCTTCGGGGGTGTTATTAATTTTGGGGGGGAAGCCCCTTTAAAATGGGTTTTTATTAAAAAGGGGTTCTTTTTTTAATTGCCAGCAAAGGGTTGTTTTTTAATGTGGGTTCTGGGTTTTTCCAAAATATTTACTAAAAATGGGGGGGGTTCTTAAATTTTTGGTTTTGTTGTTGTTTTTTAGGCTCTTCCAATATAAAGGGTTTGGGTTAAATTAAGGGTTTCCCTTTTTGTGTTCCAGGAATTTTCCATAAAAAGGGTTTGTTTAAAAAAATTGTTGTGGTTGTGTTCCCAAAATATGTCCAGGCTATTAAAAAGGGGGTTTTGTTATTAAATGTGGTTTCTGGGTTTTGGGTTCCCGGCTATGCCGGGCTATAAGGGGGTTTTTTGGATTAAAACCCGTGTTTTTCCCTTGTGGTTTCAGGGGGATCCCCGGGTTGCAGGGTTTTTAATTAAAACCGGTGGTTTTTTCCAACTATCCAGGGAATAACCCGGGGTGTTTTTTTCTGGTTTTTCTGTTTGTGTTCCAGGAAAATGTTCCCGGAAAAAAAGGGGGTTTTTGGGGGTTTAATGTTTGGCCCTTTTTGTTTTTCCAATAGTCATTTAAAGGGGTTTTTGGATTAAAATGTGTTGCGTTTTTTTTCCCCGGAAATGACTTAAAATTTTATTTAAATTTTGCCTTTTTGCAGGGAAAGCCCTCTTAAAGGGGGGTTTTTAAACTGGCGCGTGTTGTGGGTTCCCGGGAATTTTTCCCCCCTAAAAGGGTTTTTTTTCCCCTTGTGGGGGTTTTTTTTCATTGCCAGGGGTTGGGGGGGTGGTTTTGAGGTTGAGGGCTTTGAAATTCCTTGTTTTCCTTGGGGACCCTATCAGGCAAGGGGAGGGAATGGGGGAAAAAAAAAAAAAAAGGAAAATTAAACCAAAATTTTCCTTTTGGTAAGAAAAAAGGGTGAGGAATTTTTGTTTTTGTCCCCGGGGCAACGGGGCCTCCCACTTTTAAAAAATCCAAAAAAATTTTTAAAAAAATTTTTGCCCGGAGGGGTTCCTAACCCCCCGGGGGGGGGGATTTTTTGGTTGGAAAAATTTTTTTTGGGGTTCTTTTTCAGTTTGATTCCTCCCGGGCCCCCACCTTGGTTTCCTTTGGTTATTTACAACCCCAGGGTTTTTTTAAAAGGGGGGGAATTTTTTTCCCTTTTCTAAATGGCTACAGGGGTTTTTGGGAAAAATTTTTTCTTCATTTTTTTTTTTTTAATGAGCATGTAATTCCCAAAAAACCCCCAATTTAAACGGGACTGCTTTTAAAACCCTTAAGCCATTCTATTGATATATTTTATATATAATAATAATAAATAATAATAATATGCCATTTAGCAGACGCTTTTATCCAAAGCGACTTACAGTCATGCGTGCATACATTTTTTTTGTGTATGGGTGGTCCCGGGGATCAAACCCACTCCCTTGGCGTTACAAGCGCCGTGCTCTACCAGCTGAACACGGTAATGTTGGAAATTAGTTATATTTTCACCCCAACTACATACTCTAATGTCTTTGTAATGTTCTGTATGTGCGAATTCGTGCTGCCATTGAATGGGATGATGTCATTAATTAGCTGTGTGGAGGAAAAGCCTATGGGTGGTGGTGTTGAACACTAGAGGGAGACAAGCGCCACCATGTCATCATCAGCGCTAATTCCCTTCAGCACCACAGGGCTGTTTCTGTCTTCTTTTTGTTATCCAGGTTTTATATCTTGACCATTGTGCCTCAGGGGCAAATGTGTTTTTATGTTTTGATAATGTGGGCTTTCAGTGGTGCCCTTGCACTAGTCACAATCACAGTTCATGTTTGAACAGAAATGGCAATGTAGACCAATCCATATTGTAGCAGATCATTCTGTAATATTCCTGTGGAAACTGAATACGTTCTTATCTTACTGGAGCGTGGTTTCATTCCTTAAGCTCAGCGGGAATTTGCTGCTTTCCCTTTTTCAAAGAGAACACATCTTTCGTCTAACCTTGGGCAGTGAAGGAATTGAATAGAAACGTGGCAGTGAATGAATACAAAACGTGGCAGTGAATGAATACAAAACGTGACCGTGAATGAATACAAAACGTGACCGTGAATGTGCATGCTTTTGTGCTGCAGCTGCTCTCCCCGTCAGTGGGAGAGGGCTCCCCCTTGTGGCCGTTTGTCACTCTGCAGGGTTGTGGTCAATTCCATTTGAATTTGGAAGTAAACTGAAATTCACATTTTCTCTCCAACGATGAAATCAGGGAGGGGACTGTGGATCTGTCTCCGTATGTTCGTCACACACAGTATCTCAGACAGCACTGGGCTGATTTTGACTAAACTTAGGTGAATGATGCGTCTTGCCATAGAGATCCAGCATTTACAAAATTACACTGATTGGCCCAAGGTGGGAGCTATAGTAACGTCACTGAAATGTGTTAGTCACACGCAATATCTCAGTTGGCCCGGGGGGTCACTACATCATTCTTTGGGGACGACATGTTTTCTGTTGCCTTGTCCTCAATGATTTTCCTGGTAGAATGTGTCCTGGTGGACCTGTGTGACTCAGCAGTGTCTCTCTCTCTCTCTCTCTGTGTGTCCCTATAGGAACGAGGCGGACAGCGAGGAGGAGTCCATGGCCCACGGAGGCAGACTGCAGAACCATGACAACCTGTACCGGGTCCACATGCCCAGCCTGTACAGCTGTGGCAGCAGCTACGGCAGCGAGACCAGCATCCCTGCTGCAGCACACACCGTCAGCAACGCCCCCGTCACAGAGTACATGTGAGTACAGTAACACCAACACTCATCTCAAAGAGAATCACTGGGAACAGTGGGTGCAATTACAGTGTTAGGGGGATTGGGTTTTTTTCCCCCCCACTTTCTCAGTGTTTAAAGGGTTTTAAAGCAGGCTGTGGTGGGGGAGGGTGAGGAATTTTTGAGAGACCATGGGACCCGGGCTTTACTAGCACCCCTCCACGTTTGGGGGACCGTTAGAGAGAGGGGCCTTTTCCCGCTCCCCAAAAGAGGGGCCCTTCGGGGTTCCGTGACCGGGGGGCAGGGTGTTGCTCTCCAGCTGTGGTCCTTTGAAAACCCCAAAGGGCCAAAAGCTTTATGAATGGACCTCTTAGGATTGGGGGGGGAGTGGGGGGCCCGGGGGGAGGGGGGTTTGGTGTTACTCGGTTTTTGGGGGGATTGTTTCAGTAAGTACAGCCCTGATTTCGTGGGGGGGCTGTGCGTGGTCCTGTGGGGTTTTTTAAAAGGTTCAGGGAAAAATTTGTTTTATGTGGGTGACGTGCCTTTGTTGGGATGGAAAATTTTTTTTGAGGGGCAAAAAGTCATGGACGTTTTTGTGAACCTATTTCTGTGCTTTTTTCTGCGCTGTAGTTCCCCCCCCGGGGGTGTTTAAACCCTTGGGGTTTGTGTTTGTTTTTTGTTACACAGGACCCCGAAATTTTCCCCAAAGCCTTCCGAACCCGCGGGGTGTTTTTGGGGAACACCCACTGATAGAGAGGGGGTCCCCTCCTCCCCCGGTAATTTTCCCCCCAAAGGGCACGTTTTACATGATGGAAGAACACCTCCACGACTGGGTCTTTGGCCCCCCCCTTGTGTAGGACAGGATAAAGACGAAGACCTTTTCCCAAAGAATTTTTGTTGTTAAAAGGTTTAAAAAGTCCCGCCAAAAAGGGGCCCTTGGTTTTTTTGGGAAAAGATGCCCCAGTTGCAGTTTTTTTTGCCTCTGGGGTTTTCATATTTAAGTTAAAATTGGCTCAATTAAAAGCTAGTCAAAAATGACGACCTAGCTCCGTCTCCATAGGTTGTGGGTTAATTTAAACCTGAGTCCCTTCCCTCAGGGGGCCCTTTCCTCCCTGGCCGGTTTCCCTCCTGTCCTGGAGAGTGAGCCCCTCCTCCTCGGGGTCAGTGTGTCTGCTTAAAACCCAAAAAATCGGGGCTGTGTATCTTTTTTAACTGTCTTTTCGCTGTTTTTTTCTTTCCCCGCAAACCCCAAAAAATTGGACTGCCGGGATGCGACGCCCCACCCGCTGGCAGTTTTTAAACCCCAGCGAGTGAGAGATCGTTTGGTAAAACCCCCTCCGCTAGGGGAAAAGGTAAAAGACAAGCCCCCACCCCCCCCTTCACTTTTCTGGCCTGTGTTCCCCCCCCCAAAACCCAAGGGCCCCCACCCCCCCCCCCCCCCAACCACCCAGCCCTAACCCAAAGCTTGCCCCCCCCAAATGCCTCCTTTGTTTTTGCTAGTTTGACACCCCAACCCTAAAACTTTTCCCTGATTTTTGGCCCATTTCCATTCCCCCCCCGCACTGCGCTTTTTTAGGTGGAAAAAGTCACGTTTAGTCCGGCCCTTAGGCCCATAAAGGCTTTCCTTTCATGAACAAAAAAAAGCCTACATACGGGGGTTTACGTAATTTCATTGCATTCCGAGCCTTTAGACTAATGTTTCATTCCCCCTTTTCCCCCGAAACAGGGAGGCCCTGGGGGAAAGGGCTTATTACTGGGGGAATTAAATCACAGTGGACCTCTTTAGGATTGCGGTTTTTTAAAAAAGGGAAGAGGTTTTATTACTGAAAGGGGAAACCAACCCTTTTTCCGTTTTTGATAGATTGGGCGGGGTTTTTTTGCCCAAAAAATTCCAATAGTTCCCCAAAACCCGTACTAGTTTATTTTGGGAAGTCTTTTGGGTTTTTCTGTGAGCTAAAAACCCCCCTCTATTTCAAGTTGTTCCCCCCCCTCTGTCTCTTTCTCCCTGGGCCTTTGAGCTCTGATGTACAAAAGGGGTAGAATTGGGGGTTTCCCGGTGGGGGAGTGGGGGTGGGGCTCCCCCTCAATTTACCACTAAGTCTAAGAGACCCCCCATTGAAAAATTTATGTTGATCTGGGAAGGCCAAATTTTTAGCACAACTATGTGCAGGGTTAAAGTGTGGGGTTTTATTTCCCGTTGGCCCAGCATGGCCTTGGGAAAACGTGAGGATCGTGGGTTCGAACCCCCTGGGGGCCCCCCAAAACCCAAAAAGGATGCAGCCTGGGCGGGAAGTCACTTTTGGGTAAAAACGGCTTTTAAAAAGGGGATATTATATTTTTTAATTTTTAATGGTCCGAGGCGACAGGGGAGAGTCTGGCCCCCACGGAGGCAGACTGCAGAACCATGACAACCTGTACCGGGTCCACATGCCCAGCCTGTACAGCTGTGGCAGCAGCTATGGCAGCGAGACCAGCATCCCTGCTGCAGCACACACCGTCAGCAACGCCCCCGTCACAGAGTACATGTGAGTACAGTAACACCAGTCACATGGAACACTCATCTCAAAGAGAATCACTGGGGAACAGTGGGTGCAGTTACAAGTGTTAGGGGATCTGTTTTTTCCCTCCACTTTCTCAGTGTTGAAAGGTTCAAAGCAGGCTGTGGTGGTGAGGAATGTGAGATACCATGTGACCCAGGGCTGTACTAGCACAGCCTCCACGTTTAGGGCACCGCTGAGAGAGAGGAGCCGTGCTCTGCTCTCCCATAGAGGGTCACATTCTGGCGGCCGCGACCGATGCAGCTGTTGCTCTCCAGCTGTGGCCCTTTGAAACCCAAGGCCAACAGCTTTATGAATGGACCTCTTAGGATTGGGATGGGGGCTGGGTTGCCTGGGAGAGGGGATTTGGTGTTACTCTGGTTTTGGTGGATTGTACAGTATAGTACAGCCATGTATGTACTGTGGGGGTCTGTGTCTGTGGTGCCTGTAGGGGTTTAAATGGTATCATGAAAGATTTGTATATGTGGGTGTACGTGCTTCTGTGGCATGGAAAGGTTATTTTGAGGGTCAATAAGTCATGGACGTGTTTGTGAACCTGTTTCTGTGTGTGTTCTGCAGCTGTAGTTCCCTCCCCGCCTGTGTTTAACCTTGGAGTGTGTGTTTGTTCTGTTACACAGGACCCAGAATGCCAATGCCTTCCAGAACCCCCGGTGTGAGAACACTCCACTGATAGAGAGAGAGTCCCCTCCTCCCTCGGTAAGTGTCCCAATGTCTACGTTATACACTGATGGACAGAACACCTCCACTGACTGGGTCATTTGGCAGCCGTTGTGTAGGACAGGATAATGACAAAGATCTTTCCAATGAGATCTTGTTGTTTAAAAGTAAACAGTCTGCCAACAGGGCCTGGTTTTGGAAATGATGTCTCAGTGCAGTATTTTTGCCTCTGATTTTGACATATTGAAGTTAGTTTGGCTCACAGTAAGAGCTAGTCAACATGACGATCCTAGCTACCAGTCTCCATAGGTTGTGTGTTGTAAGTCAACCTGAGTCCTTCCGTCAGTGGTCCCTGTTCCTCCCTGGCCGGTTGCCCTCCTGTCCTGGAGAGTGAGCCCCTCCTCCTCGGTGTCAGTGTGTCTGCTTGGACCTAGACTCTGCGCTGTGTATCTTCTCTATACTGTCTTGTCGCTGTTGTTTTCTTTCCTGCAAACCCACACAGTTGTATTTGACTGCCGGCATGGAAAGTTACAGCTGGCAGTTAAAGCCCTCGGCGAGTGAGAGATCGTTTTGGTAACCTCCTCCGCTATGCTAACAGGTACAGACAATGCCCCCCCCCCCACCCCCCCACCTTCACTTACTGGCCTGTGTTCCCCCAAACCAAGTCTACTCCCCCCACCCCAACCACCCACGCCCTAACCAGAGCTACCTGCCACCCCACTGCCCTCCTGTGTCTTGCACCTAACACATGTCCCCTGACTGTGGCCTTGGGCAGCATGTCATCCTATCGCCCAGCACTGCACTGAACATGTCACGTTCTAGTCCTGCCTTCAGGCCCATCATGGCCTTCCTTTCATGAACATTTAAGCCTACATCCGACAAAAAACGACATTCACGTACTGCGTTGCATTCCGTTTTGTTCCGAGCCCTTTAGACTAAGTGTTGCATTCCCCTTTCCACCTGAAACAGGGAAAGGAGTTATTACTGTGTGAATTACATCACAGTGGACTTCTTTAGGGATTGACGGTTTTGAAAAAGGAACAAGTTAATTACTGTAGAAGAGAACAACTTTATCCAGTTGTTGATAGATCTGGGCAGTTTGTTGCTAGAACATTCCACTGGTCCAGAACCTGTACTAGTTCATTTTGGAAGTCTTGAGTTCTTCTGTGAGCCAGAACATCCTTCTGCTATTGTCAAGTTGTTCCACCTATGTCTCTGCCTCTCTCTCCTGGCCTTCAGAGCTCATAGATGTACAGTATAGCGGGTAGAATGGCTCCTGAGTGTGGAGTGGGATGGTCTCCACCTCACTTTACCACTAAGTCTAAGAGACTCCCATTGAAAATCATGTTGATCTGGCAAGGCCACTTTTCAGCACAACTGTGTGCAGGATATAACGTGTGGTTATATCCAGTTGGCCGAGCATGGCGCTTGCAACGCTTAGGATCGTGGGTTCGATTCCCACTGGGGCCGCCCACACTAAAAATGGATGCACGCATGACTGCAAATCACTTTGGATAAAAGCATCAGCTAAATGGCATATATATTATATAGGAGCTATAGGCGAGTGGAATAAGGTGTTAGGAGCTTTAGTTCTGTAAACCTGTCACATATCCTTTCACAGAGTATGTACTGCAAGTGCACCTGGTTTTATCTGCTCCTTTGCAATAAATATGTTGTAATGTATACAGATGTGACAACCCAACCCAATGCCAGTATGGTTTATTATCTCTAAGTACAGTATGATAAGCCCTTACTTTCCCATGTAGAAACATACTATATATACACGATAGATAGATACAATAGATATACAGTGGGGAGAACAAGTATTTGATACACTGCCGATTTTGCAGGTTTTCCTACTTACAAAGCATGTAGAGGTCTGTAATTTTTATCATAGGTACACTTCATCTGTGAGAGACGGAATCTAAAACAAAAATCCAGAAAATCACATTGTATGATTTTTAAATAATTAATTTGCATTTTATTGCATGACATAAGTATTTGATACATCAGAAAAGCAGAACTTAATATTTGGTACAGAAACCTTTGTTTGCAATTACAGAGATCATACGTTTCCTGTAGGTCTTGACCAGGTTTGCACACACTGCAGCAGGGATTTTGGCCCACTCCTCCATACAGACCTTCTCCAGATCCTTCAGGTTTCGGGGCTGTTGCTGGGCAATACGGACTTTCAGCTCCCTCCAAAGATTTTCTATTGGGTTCAGGTCTGGAGACTGGCTAGGCCACTCCAGGACCTTGAGATGCTTCTTACGGAGCCACTCCTTAGTTGCCCTGGCTGTGTGTTTCAGGTCGTTGTCATGCTGGAAGACCCAGCCACGACCCATCTTCAATGCTCTTACTGAGGGAAGGACGTTGTTGGCCAAGATCTCGCGATACATGGCCCCATCCATCCTCCCCTCAATACGGTGCAGTCGTCCTGTTCCCTTTGCAGAAAAGCATCCCCAAAGAATGATGTTTCCACCTCCATGCTTCACGGTTGGGATGGTGTTCTTGGGGTTGTACTCATCCTTCTTCTTCCTCCAAACACGGCAAGTGGAGTTTAGACCAAAAAGTTATATTTTTGTCTCATCAGACCACATGGCCTTCTCCCATTCCTCCTCTGGATCATCCAGATGGTCATTGGCAAACTTCAGACGGGCCTGGACATGCGCTGGCTTGAGCAGGGGGACCTTGCGTGCGCTGCAGGATTTTAATCCATGACGGCGTAGTGTGTTACTAATGGTTTTCTTTGAGACTGTGGTCCCAGCTCTCTTCAGGTCATTGACCAGGTCCTGCCGTGTAGTTCTGGGCTGATCCCTCACCTTCCTCATGCTCATTGATGCCCCACGAGGTGAGATCTTGCATGGAGCCCCAGACCGAGGATTATTGACCGTCATCTTGAACTTCTTCCATTTTCTAATTATTGCGCCAAGAGTTGTTGCCTTCTCACCAAGATGCTTGCCTATTGTCATGTAGCCCATCCCAGCCTTGTGCAGGTCTACAATTTTATCCCTGATGTCCTTACACAGCTCTCTGGTCTTGGCCATTGTGGAAAGGTTGGAGTCTGTTTGATTGAGTGTGTGGACAGGTGTCTTTTATACAGGTAACGAGTTCAAACAGGTGCAGTTAATACAGGTAATGAGTAGAGAACAGGAGGGCTTCTTAAAGAAAAACGAACAGGTCTGTGAGAGCCGGAATTCTTACTGGTTGGTAGGTGATCAAATAATTATGTCATGCAATAAAATGCAAATTAATTACTTAAAAGTCATACAATGTGATTTTCTGGATTTTTGTTTTAGATTCCGTCTCTCACAGTTGAAGTGTACCTATGATAAAAATTACAGACCTCTACGTGCTTTGTAGGTAGGAAAACCTGCAAAATCAGCAGTGTATGAAATACTTGTTCTCCCCACTGTATACAATAGATAGATACAATAGATAAATAGATGGATACAGTAGATAGATAGATGGATACAGTAGATAAATAGATACAATAGATATATAAATACAATAGATAGATACAATAGATAGATAGATACAGTAGATATATAGATACTGTGTGTGTGTGTGTGTGTATATATATATATATATATATATATATATCTCTCTATCTCTACCTGGTAGAATTCCAAATTGTATACAGGTAAGGCAGTTGAGGGACAAAATGATCTGTAGTTCAGGTTTACCTCCCATCACAGACTGAATATGCAATTCATTTTTGCCATTGCCAACCAAAATGCAGACTGAAACTTGATTTTATGCACCAAGCAGTTAGATTTCTGATCTCACACACAGATTGTTCAGAGTCAAATCTGAGGGTAGGGGAATCTGAGATATTCTGAACCTACTGCTGATCCTAGGTGTCCACAATAGGCTGTCCAAATGACTCCCAGGGTGGCATTCCCACAATGCAAAACCGCAGCGCTGTATTCCGCATGGACTCTGCACAGTTACTGAATTTAAAACGAATGGTCCTACGAGTTTTTACTTCTTCTTTTTTTTTCACACTAGTACCTAATTTTTCTGCATCATCAGAATCGGACCCTGAATGTTTTTCTCTGTGTTGGTGCTGTCATATGTGATGTGTGAGGCTTGTTCATTCTCAAGCCCTCACAGCCAAACCCTCTCTATTGATTTGTTAAGGTGACCTGTTTTTGTTGTTCTAAGCTTTTTACATTAGTAATGCTTTTTTGATGTCAGGGCAAACACCTGCACTTTCAAACATAGCAAATATAAAATATACACCACTATCGTAACTATTTTTATACAGTGCCTTCGGAAAGTATTCAGACCCCTTGACTTTTTCCACATTTTGTTACATTACAGCCTTATTCTAAAATGGATTTTAAAAAATAAAATCCTCACCAATCTACACACAATACCCCATAATCACAAAGCGAAAACGGGTTTTTAGATTATATATATATTTTTTACAGAAATACCTTATTTACATAAGTATTCAGACGCTTTACTATGAGACTCAAAATTGAGTTCAGGTGCATCCTGTTTCTATTGATCATCCTTGAGATGTTTCTACAACTTCATTGGAGAACACCTGTGGTAAATTCAATTGATTGGACATGATTTGGAAAGGCACAAACCTGTCTATATAAGGTCCCACAGTTGACAGTGCATGTCAGAGCAAAAAACAAGCCATGAGGTCGAAGGAATTGTCCGTAGAGCTCAGAGACAGGATTATGCCGAGGCACAGATCTGGGGAAGGGTACCAAAAAATCTCTGCAACATTGAAGGTCCCCAAGAACACAGTGGCCTCCATCATTTTTAAATGGGAGAAGTTTGGAACCACTAAGACTCATCCTAGAGCTGGCCGCCTGGCCAAACTGATCAATCGGGGGATAAGGTTAGCGAGGTGACCAAGAACCCGATGGTCACTCTGACAGAGCTCCAGAGTTCCTCTGTGGAGATGGGAGAACCTTCCAGAAGGACAACCATCTCTGCAGCACTCCACCAATCAGGCCTTTATGGTAGAGTGGCCAGACGGAAGCCACTCCTCAGTAAAAGGCACATGACAGCCCGCTTGGAGTTTGCCAAAAGGCACCTAAAGACTCAGACCATGAGAAACAAAATTCTCTGGTCTGATGAAACCAAGATTCAACTCTTTGGCCTGAATGCCAAGCGTCACATCTGGAGGAAACCTGGCACCATCCTTACGGGTAAGCATGGTGGTGGCAGCATCATGCTGTGGGGGTGTTTTTCAGCGGCAGGGACTGGGAGACTAGTCAGGATTGAGGCAAAGATGAACTGAGCAAAGTACAGAGAGATCCTTGATGAAAACCTGCTCCAGAGCACTCAGGACCTCAGACTGGGGCGAAGGTTGACCTTTCAACAGGACAACGACCCTAAGCACACAGCCAAGACAACGCAGGTGTGGCTTCGGGACAAGTCTCTGAATGTACTTGAGTGGCCCATCCAGAGCCCAGACTTGAACCCGATCGAACATCTCTAGAGAGACCTGAAAATAGCTGTGCAGCAACGCTCCCCATCCAACCTGGCAGAGCTTGAGAGGATCTGCAGAGAAGAATGGGAGAAACTCCCCAAATACAGGTGTGCCAAGCTTGTAGCGCCATACCCAAGAAGACTCGAGGCTGTAATTGCTGCCAAAGGTGCTTCAACAAAGTACTGAGTAAAGGGTCTGAATACTAATGTAAATGTGATGTTTCTTTATTATATATATATATATAAATTAGCAAAAAGTTCTAAAAACCTGTTTTTGCTTTGTCATTATGGGGTATTGTGTGTAGATTGATGAGGGGGAAAAAACAATTTAATCAATTTTAGAATAAGGCTGTAACCTAACAATGTTGAAAAGGTCAAGGGGTCTGAATACTTTCCGAAGGCACTGTAGTTCTCTATTGGATGAAAACTGTAATTCTTTATCTGTGTATACATGGGTCATCCCATGCTGTTTTGTTACGCCTACTTTTCTCTTTCTCTCAACAGTACACCTCCAGCATGAGGGCCAAGTACCTGGCCAACAGTGGCCCTGGTCCCAGTACCTCCACACCCATACCTCCACAGCACCCATCACAGCACCAAGAACACGACTCGGCACACCACTCACGACAGCACACTCCACACCGCCCACCACTTCACCCTACAGCACAGCTCTAGACAACACCGGGGCGTGACCCACCTACAGACACACCAGCGTGGAACCACCTAGCCTCTGGAACCTCTTCTCCAATGCCCTTCAACATTTCTGTGACATCATCTCCATTCCCATCCAGTCTACAGTCCAGATCTGCTTTCCTTTTCACCCTTACTAGCCCTCTCCCCCAGCAACAACTTCAAACATCGGAGCCAACTATGTATTTGAAGTGTGCTTGATAGCAGAGCTTAGAAAGGGACATGCAAGGCAGACGCATCATGTAAATAGTGCTGTCGTCATTACAATGTGTTCCGGAGGCTCTTTCATGATGTTTCCAGATGGTCAGTCTGGGCTGGGCCACACAGAGCGGAGCAGCTAGCCAGTGCATTGTGAGGGCCAGGAGGAGGTTATTTTCAGCATCGTGTGATTGCTGTCATTGGCTGCTATTGGACTGACTGAGTGGTGGCCCTTGTTCCCCTGCTACCCCCTACCACCGCCTCGTCTCTGTGCTGGGCCATCCTCATGTGGCCCAGAGACAATAGAGACTAATGAAGCAACTGGCCTCCAGCTCTTCATGAAGGATCTCTGCTCCTTTTCCACTCCTCTGTCTGCTCAGTCCACCAAATATCATCTTGAACTGAGTGATAATGTCTAATGTGAGGATATATTGCTCAAACATCAAGCTTTTATTTTTCTGCCACTTTTGGGGTCTCCCTGTGTTTGATATTGTATGAAGGAGATATCCACAATCAAATGTCCATCTTTACAACTGCAAAAACTGCTATTTATGGTGCTGTGAATGTAGTGAAGGAGAGAACACCTGAATAGATAATGAAACTAAACTGCCATTGCTTTGGTGAGGACTGAGAGAGTTATGGGAATGTCTAGGCTAGCACTTCTAACTATCGATAGTGATTTTGTTCAATATGTTGCTACGTACTGTACTCTCTCTCTCATTGCTGTAGGAGATGTTGAGCAATGCCTTACACAGAGAGCAGTGGAAAGGCCTAGAAACTACCGTTCCCTCACACCCTTTACAGAACTAGGCCTCTGTCATAGCAAGTTGTGATGCAGGCACAGTTCCTCAAAGGTTGGATGTAGCGCAACAATACTAAGGCAATGATATGTCTTAAAGACAAAGACCAGTGTTTCTCAAGCATTCCGTGTGAGTGTTCTTCATAACAGTGGAACATCTCAGTTCCTCATGTAATCCTGTTATCTGGAGGACTTGCAACACGACCAGTAGAACGCCTGATCCAAGAATTAACATCAGTTGTATTATCCTGTCTCTTAATACGTGTCTGACGAGATCACATTGACATATCATTACTACTGCCTAACAAGCTGAGACTACTTATTTCTTATCTAGGTAGACATCAGCTTGTTATTGCATTTGTCTTAAATCTCAGTTATCTTGTTTCATAATGTCTTATAGTAGTAGGTCTATGACTGGAAAAGACTGGGAGCTCTTAACTCTTATATTAGTCCTGACCTGCATGCTTGTGGCTGTTGTTCCCCCCCAGAGGGAGGTTTGCCATTGGAGTAATGCAGTATGCCACTATTCCAGAAAAATGACTGAAGCTACATGGATTTTGAACTGGAGAGTTTTGCTGTGAAAAACTGGAGTTCATTTGCGATTCCAGTGTCTGCTCTTGGATGATGTGAGCTGAAAAGACTGATAAAGGTCACTAAAGAAGAGGAGCTGTAAATGGTGGGACCCACTGTCCTCTCATCAATACCACAGACTGCTATTATCAGTACTGTAATTCTCATTACATTGAAGAGTTTGGTCAATTGAGAATATGCTTAGCAAAATGTTCAGATGTCTATGGTAAGGTTTTGTTCCCAAACAGAAGACTATTCAGACAAGGGAAAGGAAACATTTTTAAACTAACGGAAGCACAAGCGTTTTTTTCAACAGACAGCTGAGGACTGGTTCCTGATTGCTGAGAGACAAAACTAAACTAAACAGAAGTTTTCCTCCACCATTATAAGACTCATTCAAAATATAATTTGCAGTGCTGTTCTATTAGCCAAATATCTTGTGCTAGTGTTGGTGTTCCTCTGCGTACAGTGGTCGTTGTGTTTGCTTGCCGTCTCCTGTCCTCCCAACAGATCTGGAAAGCAGCAGCTAGTCCACTCCTATCTCCGACCGCCTCGCAACGTTCTCCTCTACTGAACCCTATGGATATAGTCACAGACTGTAACATCACATTATATCCAGAGTGTCTGGAGGCTGTGTACATTAATCAGTATGTATTTCCTCTCGAGGTGTGGAATAAATGTGTTCTAGTGTACAGTTATGCATGTTACAACAGCCAAGAGAACTGCAAAATGTACATCCTAATGTACCAGCATTTCATTGTCACAAAGATGTGTTTTAGCATAAAGAACTCTTTTGGAGAGAAAAATGAAAACTGCGGGAGTTGTTTCACAATTGGTAAATTGAAGAAATGCTGTAGTGACACGGGTTCATTTGTACCATTCACCTTTTCAGTAAGAGCATCCTACGGTTCTGTGGACTCCTAAAGCATGGTGACCCTTCAAATGTATAGTGAAATATTGTTGTACATTGTTGCTACTGACGCTTCTCTTGGCGCCACTTCGTTCTGCATTGTAATCAATGAGAGGTGTGTTTCTTTCTTCAGACTGTGCCAATAACCAAACACAACACCTTACCTTTACTATTATATTTTTTATGTCTCACTAAGGCCTGTTTGTACAGTTCACAGCACTGTGGTTGCCTGAGCAACCCAATGAGGAAAATGAGCCCTACATTTTGAACTTGATGATGCATTTTTACTGTTTTGGAGTAGTCATATTCTCTTTGTTAATGTTGTAATGCTAGACCAATGTACAGACTTTAAAGGGATACTTTGGGATTTTGGCAATGAAGCCCTTTATCTACTTCCCCAGAGTCAGATGAACTAATGGACCACCATTTGTATGTCTCTGCATTCAGTATGAGTTATAGGTAGTTTCGCAAGCCAATGCTAACTAGCGATAGTGCAATGAGTGGAAGTGTATGGTATCTACTAGCAATGGTGCTAATGCTAGTTAGAAACGTCCTTCAAACTGTACGCAGAGACATAAAAATAGTATCCACGAGTTCATCTGACTCTGGGGAAGTAGATAAAGGGCTTAATTGCCAAAATCCTGAAGTATCCCTTTAAAACATGTTTGCTAAATGAGCTGGTGAAGTTGACATTTCCTTTCTCATTGTGATGAAATCTCTTTGCTTCATAAAAAAAAAAAAAAAGTAATTTACCATTGATTCTTTTTAGTGTTCATTGCATATATTACGGTGTGTAGCAAACACAAAATGTTTTTTTTTATTATGTGAATACGATTTAGTTTTTGTCTTTCATTGCTTTGTTTTGATAACATTTCACTGTAGATTTACTCATTGTTTTTATATTATTTTAAAGCAATTACTAAAATATTGTACATGTTAAACCTGTGGTTTTATTGAGCTTGAACTCAGTGTTTTGAAAATAAACCAACCTTAACTGTTGAACCCTGACTTGTCTTTACATAGAGAATGTTGATCATAACTGTTCCAGATGGACAGAAATGCATGATTTATACGAGAGTTTGATTTTAACTTCTGCTTCCACTGTAAAATAATCTAGGCTATGTGCTGCTATCAACGGTACAACAAAAGCAGCAGTTAGCTTAGTGGGTAAGAGCGTTGTGCCTGTAACCGAAAGGTCGCTGGTTCTAATCCCCGAGCCGACTAGGTGAAAAATCTGTCGATGTGCCCTTAAGCAAGGCACTTAACCCTAATTGCTCATGTAAGTCGTTCTGGATAAGAGCGTCTGCTAAATGACTAAAATGTAAATGTAAACAAAGATAACAGATTGCTTGCCCCACTTGGCTGACATTGTGACTAGTAACACTGGGTAGCAGCAGAACTGCACAGTGTGTCTCAGTAAATGTATCTGTGCTATAGTACTCTGAGGTGATGGTTGTTTGTTGATACAAATATTTTGATATTCAACACATCAGGCTTTGTTGCAGGCAGTAATATAGCTCAAATGTATTTGTCTATTTCTGGGATGTGCTATTGTTCTCTGAAGTCTGCAGATAGAAAGGCTTGGATGTCCTGTTGACTGGAGGAGAAAGGTTGTGTTGTGTGTGTGTGACCTCACTGGGCTGACGGCAGGTTGAGAGGTCAGTGTCACAAACAGGACAGACGTCCAGCATTGTCTCCTTCCTGTAGGGCAGACCGTCAGGCAGCTGCTGTCTCTCCAAGACTGGCGTCCTGTCTAGTCTAGGGGGGTTGGAGGGATGGGATGGGGACATGGATGAATGAAGATTGAATGGTCCCTCGATCCTGAAAGATCATGAGCCAAAGTACATTTAATCCTGTTATTTTGTTCATCCCATTTTACTACAAATATAATGTAAGGAACTCAGCCTATACAATACATTAATTTAACAAACATTACAGAAATGTCCAACAAATCCTTTTAAATCAAATCAGTTGTGATGTGTTCTTCCAACATGGTATTAACAAAGAAAACTGGTCAACATTTCTTCCTGGATAGTAGGATGATGATAAGTGAACAGCTGGAGAAGTAGTTGAACTCAGCAGCTGTGCATTCCTTCTGGCCACTCAATGCACTGTCATCAGTCTGGATGGTCCAGTTAGTATCTCACACCGGACGTCAACTTCTTGGTAACCCTTTATCAGTGGTGGAAAAAGTACTAAATTCTCATACTTGAGTGAAAGTAAAGATAACTTAAATGGAAAATGACTCCAGTAAAAGTGAGTCACCCAGTAAAATACAAACATTACTTGAGTAAAAGTACAGTGCCTTGCAAAAGTATTCATCCCCCTTGTTGTTTTTCCTATTTTGTTGCATTACAACCTGTAATTTAAATGGATTTCATGTAATGGACATACACAAAATAGTCCAAATTGGTGAAGTGAAATGAAAAAAAAAAATCATTGTTTCAAAAAATTCAAAAAAAATAAATAACGGAAAAGTGGTGCGTGCATATGTATTCACCCCCTTTG